GCAGTGTCTATTTTTAAACTGAGAAGCAGCTATTAATCTCAAATACTTTACATTGGTATGGATTTTTGTATGTATATACAAATTTAAGGTAATTTTTGTTATACTGTATATATACTCTTGTTTAAGATGTTTTACTAGCTGGGCAGTGGTGGCATATGCCTTTAATCCCAGCTCTCAAGAAGCAGAAGCAGGTAGATCTCTGTGAGTTCAAGACCAATCTGGTCTACAGAGTCAGTTCCAGTGTGGTAGAATATTATTGTAAGGTGTGTGTTTTTGGTAGTCTTAATAAAGAACTGAATGGCTAATAGTGAAGCAGAAGCAAGGATAGGCAGGACTGGCAGGCAAAGAGGATAAATAATAGAAGGAGAAACGAGTGTTCCATCAAACGAGGAAGAGGAAAACAAGAGAACAAGGAGAGGACATCAGAGGCAGCTACCCAGATACACAGCCAGCCATGGAGTAAGAAGGAAAGAAAAGGTATATAGAAATAGAAAAAGATAAAAGCTCTGAGGCCAAAGATAGATGGGATCATTTAAGTTAAAAAAAGCTGACAAGTAACAAGTCAAGCTAAGGCCGGGCATTCATTACTAAAAATAAGCCTGTGTGTGGTTTATTTGAGTGTTGGATGGTGGGTCCCCCCAAAAAGCTAAAAGAGTAAAGAATAAAAAACAAACACAATATTCCACAACAGCCAGGGCTGTTTCACAGAGAAACCCTGTCTTGAAAACAAACAAGTAAATAAATGCAGGCTAATAGTCCTATGCAACAACCCAATTTGTAGTGACATTAGGTATGTTTTCAAGGACAGATATATTTTAGATAGACAGATGATCTTCAAACACTTCAGAGACATTCAGAATATGGCATTTAAAATGTTTTTAATAACATAAGGCTTTTCCTGACAGTGAGACACATCCGCTTCTAGAAGTACCAATTTACTTCAAAAAAGAATGATAGGCATTGAAGAACCTCCATATGGAGTTTATTTTCTTTGTGGCAAATGTTAGCCACTTGGCAAAGAGAATAGCCTTGCCTCAGCTGCTGACAGTATGCTGTCCAAAATGGACAAACAAGACACCAAAGAAAATGACTGCCACACTTTGCCAAGCCAACGTGGGAATGTTCTTCAAAAATCCTGCTTTACAGAAAAGTCTGCCAGATATTCTAGACCTGCAGGCTGAAGATGGATGCCCCAACACTACAGAGGGAGCTTGGGTGACTGACTGTCCAGGCAGCCAGCTGTCGCTGTCATCACTATAGTTTTGGAAGTTGCTTGCTCTGCACTTCCTGCTTTCTCAGGTAATATTGTATCCTTCTCAGGCTTTGATAAGGTTGAAGATGATGTAGTTACAGTTACAGTTTTCCTTGTTACCAAATCCAGAAAAGAAACTCACAAGGGAAATGTAAACTTTATAAAGGTTGAGAGACATAAAAGCTTTAGTTGCTTATCTAAGAAAATCTTTTAAGGTTTAAGTTGGTAATGATAGTGGTTTAGGAGCTGGGCGGTAGTGGCACACACCTTTAATCCCAGCACTTGGGAGGCAGAGGCAAATGGATCTCTGTGTTCAAGGCCAATCTGGTCTACTGAGCGAGTTCTAGGACAAACTCCAAAGCTACAGAGAGACCCTGTTTCAGAAAACCAAGAAAAAAGGAAAAAGTGGTTTAAGTATTAAATTTTGGACACACCAAGACAGAATATATAACAGTTCTTTCTCCAAAATTACCAAATACAAATGGACTGGACATTGTGAGTATAATTTGTACCTGATAATTGTTATTTTATATAGTTTTATTTTGTTAGAGTTAAAACCTTTTCCTTTATTGAGACAAAAAGAGAGGAATGTTGCTGGATATTTGTTCACACTCACACTCTAAGACTGTTAATAAAGTTTACTTTGAATCAGAGGGTAAAGTGAGCAACAAGGTGACCAGAATCAGCCATAAAGGTTTTGGAGGACCCAGGATATATAAAGGGACACAGGAACTAGGAGGTGGCTTAGAAAGATTTGTGGGCCCTTTTGGATCAGGGGAAGGTGAGAGAGAGAGAGAGAGAGAAAGAGAGAGAGAGAGAGAGAGAGAGAGAGAGAGAGAGAGAGAGAGAGGTCACTGATTGCTTTTCTGATTAATCAGGCTTTATTCATAATAGAAAAAAATTAGATAAACTCATCAGACATATGCCAAAAACCTAAAGACCCTGAGCCAGTTATGGTCACAGACATCCTTCATTCTTTCTATTGGAAAGTGGAGGAAGAATGAGAAATTTAAGGCCATTCTCAGCTACATAGAGTCTTGGGCAAGCCTAGGATACTTGAGACCCTATCTCAAAGACAAAAGCTGGCTCTATGGTGCATGCCTGCTATCTGGCTTGAGATGCAAAGGTTGCAAGTTCAAGGTCAGCCTGATTCCGGGTCATGGATTATAGATCGGACCTCTGTCATCAAAATCACTGATGACAAGCACCTTTACCCAATGAGCCTGATGACCTGAGTTCCTCTCCCACATGGTGGGAGGCTAGAAGCAGGAAAGGGATCCCATAATCTGTCCTCTGACCTCCATATAAGCTCTGTAGCATGGATGACTACATACATGAATTTCCAGAAACTAAATGTTTAAAAAAGTAACAACTATGACATTGAGAACAGTGACAATGATTTCCATATGGCTGGCTTGACCTGGGCTGTGTTTGTTAATTGGCTAAGTGACAGCATGGGTAGATAGTAAAGTCATGGATGAAATGTGTCATCAATCTGTTCTTCAGAGTTGTGAGGTATTGCGATGTAAAACGCAGGCTCCCCAGCAGGTGGCATTATTTTGGAACGTATTCCACTGCAGGAAATTAGTTTCTAAGGGAGTGAGCCCATTTCTACCTCAGCACTGTCTAGGAAGATAGCCTACTTTGCACATGAGGAAACTGAACTGGGCTATTCCAGAATTTGGATTCCACATAAAGACCTGTTCACCAGTCAGTGTGGGATGATTTCACCACCAGGAAACCCACACCTGACTACAGTCCCTCGTTCCCTGATGCATTAGCTGTGGCATTTTTGGATTTGGGAGAGTGGTCAGGGTGGAGCTGCTGCCTAGAATCCCAGTGAGGGGACTGGGGGCGTGGTCAGGGGTGGAGTCCCTGCCTAGTGAAGGACTGAGGTCCTGCATTCAATCTATATTACCACAAAAAATAATACATTAAATCGAATTGTTTAAAAAGAAAACGTTAGCCACTGGAAAATAGTTCTGAGTCAGCCTAGAACTCAGGGCAGCCCGCCAAAGTGCAGAAGCTTCATGGAAGTTACAGATGCTGCTGCTGGGCTGTAGCTTCTGACTCCTGAGCAGCAAGCAAGGTCCCCTGGTTCGTTGCTGGAGGCTGCTGTGGGTTTGTTACCACACAGGCAGCCAGCCCTATGCTCTGGACCAGCTCTGGGGTGGCAGCCACCCTGACAGTGACCCTGTGGAAACCCCTCCTCCTGGCTCCCTGGCTCTCTCCAATTGGTTCCCCCCACCCCAGCTGTCTTTGACCATCTGTTGCTGTCCATCACAGGAGGCCACTCTTCTGTATGCTATCCTGTTTGTCAAGCCCAGCTCGGAGACTGTAGGGTAAGAGGGGCTGTGGGGAAACCTGGATGGAATTGTGGGTCTAGAGTTTGGTAAGGGGATCTCTGATGTCCATTAAAGTCCCCAGTTCAGGTGACCCCACACACAAACACATATGGAGAGGCCAAACTCACTAACTCTCCTGTGTTTTGGGCCCCTCCCCCCACAGGGTGAAACTTCTATGGCTTTATTTTTATTTCACTTTTAAATGACATTTTTTAAATTTTATTTTTTTGTAAGTGTACATGCTAAGGAACTTGTTAAAATGCCTGTGTGGACATCTGGAGACAACCTGAGGAGTGTAGCCTTCCCTTCCAGCTGTGGATTGTGTGTAAAGGGGATTGAAGGGCTGGGCTATGGTGGCATACACCTTTTGTCCCAGCACTTGGGAAGCAGAGGCAGGTGGATCTCTGTGAGTTCAAGGCCAGCCTGGTCTATAGAACTAGTTCCAGGGCAGCCAGGTCTATCCAGAGAAACCTTGTCTTGAAACCACTCCTTCCAAAAGGGGGGTAATTGAAGAGTTGAACTGGGATCATCAGTCTTTGCAACAAGCTCTTTTACCTGTTGAGCCATCTCACTGGCCCATACCCTCCCTGGTTTTAAGTATTTCTGTCTAGGAATGGGGACACACAGGAGCAGCCAGAGGCCATGGAGACACCTCCTTCCCTGATAAGCAAGGCTTGTGTCTGGCATCCAGCTCAGCAGAGCCCCTGGTCTCAGTTTCTCCATGTGCCCTATGGAAATGGGCAAGAGGCTAGTGTTGTGATTACAAAATCCTCAGGACCTTGTCCTGCTTCTCAGTTGTCACAGTGAGGGCCAGGCTGGATGGGCTGCTGAGGCTTCAGCCCCCCAAGTCCTGGGTTGAGTAGGGGGTTGGTTCAGCGCTAGTAGGCTGGCTGAGGGCAGCCTGGGAGCAAAGGCCTGGGGAGTAGCTGGGCTGCCAGACTGATCTGTCCTGCTGGCCTTAGACGCCAGATAAAAATAGTCTGTAGTCTCAGAGAAGATGAGCCAGTCACAGGGAGAGGGGTTCCAGTGTGGGCCTTGGGTTCATTCTTGTGTGGCCTTAGGTGGGCTCTGGGCCCCTCTGAGCATTGGCTTTGTTCCTTGCTGCACTGATGGACTCTGGGGGTCCTCCAGTAGGCTGGGCTATGGGGAAGGGGTCCCAAGGCAGTGAGTGCTTGAAGGCATGCAAATGTATGAATTTCTGCCCAGTGTGGCAGCACATGTCTTTAATCCCATCACCTAGGAGGAGGAAACAGGCAGATCTCTGAGTTCTAGGCCAGCATGGTCTATAGAATGAGTTCCAGGACAGCCAGGGCTACACAGAAAAATCCTGTCTCGAAAAAAAACAAAACAAAACAAAGCAAAAAGAGCATGAGTTTCTCCAGTGAAAACAAAGGTCAGGTAAAATCACATCCTGTCTCCCTGTTCATTTTCCAGTCTCCATGACAACCAGAGGCTTGGAGGATCTGGATGGGGGCCTGGGCAGCTGTCTCCCCAGCAATGACCTCCCATTACTGGAGGAGCCACACTCAGGCCGGCGGCCAGACAGCAAGGCACGAGGTACCTACCTACCATGACCGATTTAAGAGCCTAGTGGCACAGCTTCAGAGTCCAGCACTTACTCTCCCAGGCTGGGAGGGGGCAAACAGGGCTCCAGCCTCCAACATCTGGCTTTAGGGGCTGGTTACACAGATCTGGACTGGAATCCACTATAAGACATGCTGTGTATCTGTGAACCCCATGTCCCTTGTTATCTGCAATGGAAGCTGCCATCACCCGTTCCCTGGCAGTGTGGGGGTAGAGGATTGGATGGGACAGGTCAGGGGTGGTGAATATCCTACTGTTTTGATTCTTCATCTCTTCCACCAACAGGGGCATCCAGGCCAGCTGACTCTAGTAGCAGGACACATGTGAGTAGCTGTGACCCTGGGAGCTGGGGACAGGCTTGCCAAAGGATTGTCTCTTCTCTTCTCCTCTTCCCTTCCTTCTTTTTTCTCTCTCTCTCTCTCTCTCTCTCTCTCTCTCTCTCTCTCTCTCTCTCTCTTATGAGTTAGGGTGTCATGTAGCCCAGGCTGTCTTCAAACTCAAACCTCAGGAACCACCTTATACCCTGAGCCCTGTCTCCACCCCCAGAGTACTGGGATGACAGGTGAGCACCACATCACACCTGGTGTGTGTGCTGCTGGGCAAGATACAATGCCAGCTTCCTTTAAAAACATTTTTCCCATCAGGGCAGTGGTAGCACATGCCTTTAACCCCATCACTCCTGATGCAGAGGCAGGAGGATCTCTGTAAGTTCAAAGCCACCTGGTCTACAAAGTGAGTTCCAGGACAGCCAGGACTACACAGAGAAACCCTGCCTCAGAAAAACAACAAAAATATTTTCCTTCATTTATATTTATAAGTGTTTATTTTTATTCAGTTTTTATTATTCTATGTGTTTTGGCTGCATGAATGTGTGCCTGATACCCTCAGAAGCCAGAAGGGAACAACAATGGATCCCCTGGAAGTGGAGTTACAGATAGTCATTACCTGCCATGTGGGTACTGGGAATTGAACCTGGGTCCTCTGTGAGAGCTGATGGTGCTGTAACCGCTGAGCTGTCTAATTTCTAATGTATTAGTATATATACGTATATATATACATATATGTATTTAAATAGATTTGTACATGTGTATCTATTATATATTTATATTACACATATATTTAATATGTGTACATATGTATACACACATACATATATAATTATTTATGTGTATGTGAACACGCAGAGACCATCTTCCCAGAGTTTGTTTTCTCCTTCCACCAGGGGGAATCCCGAGGGGTCAAAGTCAGGCTGTTAGTTTTGGAAGCAGCACCTTCACCCACTGAGCTGCTTGGCTGGGGGCCCTGAGTTTTAGACACAGTCTCACTATGCAGCCCAGGCCAGCATCCAACTGCCGGCCATTCTCCTGCCTTAACCTCCTAGGTGTTGGGATTACAGAAGGAGTCATTACAACTTGCTTGTGGGGAGGTGGTGCTTCACAGCCCCCTCCTCGAAAGAAATCTGTCCTGAAATTCCTCGTGAAATGTCTCTGACGCCCTACAGGTCCTCCAGTACCCAGGGCCCGCTGGAGCCACAGAGAAAGAGCTGGCGGCCAAGGAGGGCCCAGGAACCAGCAGCAAAAGGACCCCGAAAGCTGAGACAAGTAAGAGGTTTTGCTCAGCGAGGGTGAGCGGGCAGGATGGACCTACACGGAACGAGGCTCCACCCTGGGGCGAGGCAGGAGCCACAGGCGACCAATGTGCTCGTCCCGCAGGTCCCCGGAGCATCCCCGAGCACAGGAGTTCTCAGATTGCACCTCCATTGAAGCCACCGCCACCGCTGAGAGACGACCTGCCCTGGAGAGACTTGACACTCAACAAGTGCCTGGTGCTGGCCTCGCTGGTGGCGCTGCTGGGCTGGATTCTCCAGCTGTGTCAGAGTGAGCTCTGAGAGGAGGGTCTTGGGCCAGCTCAACGCAGGGGTCGGGGACAGTGCGATTCCTCTTCAAAGAGATGGGGTGCATTCCCCCAGCCTTGTATAGGTTGTGACTCAACTGTTCCTACAAACTTTTGTTCAAGTCCTCTCTTCCTTATCCCGGGAACAACCTGCCTTTGGGATGTTCTGGACTTAATTTTGATCCAGAGTCTCACTATGGCTACTCAGAGATCTGCCCACCTCTGCCTCCTGAGTGCTGGGATTTAAAGTGTGTGCCACTATGCCCAGACCTTTAGACTTTTTTATTTTTTTTTTTGAGACATATTCTCATGTAGCCCATACATACCCCAACCAAGTGCAAAGGACCCCCCCACACACACACACATCGTTGGTAGCCACCACCATGCTTGTGGGGAGGACAATGGCCACTCCGCAGGGAGAGGCGGAGGGAGAGAGATCTAGGAAGAGGTTGGGATATCCCAGCGGCAGGAGTGGGATGCACCTCCCTGGGAGGTGGAGCAGGTGGCTACAGCTTCATCCATCCCGGAAGTGGAGTTCTGGGGTTGAGTGGGAGGATGAGGAGGGTGCTCTACATGCTCCAGCCTAGACTGACTGAATTTCAGATGCAGTGGCTGGGGAGGTGGCGGTGGCTGCCCCTAAGCAGTGGGTCCCGCCCAGTCTTCCACCCAAGAAGCCAGCGGTGCTGTCCTTGGTGAGTCTTCCTTCACTTCATGGCGATGCTCACCCAGGGAGGAGGCGGGGCCTGCGGGGGAGGTGGGCGCGAACCCCAATGCCCCACATTTTCTCTTTGTAGCCTAAACCTCCGCTCTTGGTGCCCCATTCCGGGCCTCCTGAGGCCAAGCCAGGGCCACCCGGGCCCCAGGCACTGAAACAGATGCCTGAGGCTACAGAAGCCCAGGGGGAGCCTGAAGAGTCCAAGCAGGAAGCCTCTGGGGAGGAGCGTGCCCCCCTTGGGGACCGAGGGTCCCAGGAGAAGCCGCGGAAGGAGAAACCAAGGAAAGGAGAGAAGCGAAAGAAGGAGAAACCGAGGAGGGAGAAGCCAAGGAGAGAGGAGAGGCCGCGGGCCACCAGGGAACCCCGCCCATCCCTGCCCCGGCGCTGGGAGGCGCGCGAAAGAGGCCACCAGCGGCAGACCTGGGCTCCCCGGCGATGCCATGAGCTTGACGACCGGCCCAGACAGAAGCCTCATGGGGGCAAGGGGTGCGACTGATCCTGCCTTGTGTCATGAATCCCACATCCCCTCTCTCTACAACACTAGCGAATAAAGCTCGTGCTGCGATAGCCACTTTGTCTTCTCTTTCGTGCCTGGACTCCAGGGGTTGAACAGATGGGGATTGGGTCAGTGAGATGGCACTTACCGCCAAGCCTGACTACCTGAGTTCGATTCCACACTGTGGCAGGAGAAAAGAACTCTGTTAGTTGTGTGATGCCAGGCCTGAAGTTCTGATCTTCTTGTCTCCACCTCCAAAGTGCTACTAGAATGACAGGTGCGCACCACTAGGCTTTTTTTTTTTTTTTTTTTTTTTTTTTTTTTTTTAGATTTGAGGGAGGGGGATGGAGAGATGGCTCAGCGGTTAAAGGCACTGACTGCTCTTCCAAAGAAGAGTTCAGTTCCCAGCAACCACATGGTAGCTCACAACCATCTATAATGAGATCTGGTGCCTTTCTCTGGCCTGGAGGCACACATGCAGACAGAACACTGTACACATAATAAACAAATCTTAAAAAAAAAAAAAGATTCGACAGAGAGATTGTGTGTGTGTGTGTGTTTGTATTGGGTTATACAAATGCCCTTTACTGCTGAGCCGCGTTCCCCCCCCCTTGAGGCAGGGTTTCTTTGTGTAGCTTGGAAGTCAGCCAGTTCTACAGAGCGAGTTCCATGGCAGCATGGGCTACATAAAGAGACCCTGTCTTAAAAGAGGAAATGTGATGGGGACAGAGAGCTCCTCACTGTGTGTGTGTGTGTGTGTGTGTGTGTGTGTGTGTGTGTGTATGTGTGGATCTTGTACTTGAGAAGGGAGGTGACCCCAGCTGAGTGTTTGCTGATCTTTATTGTAGAGCTGACTGGAGGCAAGGCGGGTGTCACCGGCAGCCACACTCAGTGGCTATCATGTTGGGCACATGGTGTGCACTGATATGCTCCTCAGACAGGCTGATGAGCAGCTTGCCCGCATAGGCAGTGGGCACACAGCAGGGCAGGCGCCCCAGGGCGGCCCCACGCGCCTGCATCTTCAATAGGAGCACCACGTGGTTGCCGTAGCGCGGGTTGCGGTCCGACTGCGGCCATGAGCAGGCACCTTGGCAGTTGTTGGCTTGGTAGGTCTCGGGGATGAGCACCGAGCGCTCTGCGCGCAAGTCCACGCTCAGCTCACGCAGCGCGCAAGGCCCATCTGTGGATATCCCCGCACTGCGCCCTGCCCTCCCGCGCCCTTCCCGCCTACGCCACTCCATACGCAGTCCCTGTAGCGCCTTCAGCAGCAGCAGCGCGCGCAACGGGTCCCCGGGGCTGTGGGTGTCGTTGGGGCACAGTGCCAGTAGGCGCGACAGCAGCGGAGGCGCAGTGGGTGGCAGGCCGGGGAGGCCCCGCAACTCTGAGGCCGCAGCCTGCAGCTCCACAGCCACCCTGCGTGCTAGGCCGCCTGCCCAAGGAACAGAGTCAGGGCCCTTAAGTGGCGTGGATTCCCCCATGGTGGCCGCAGCGGGGGACAGCAACAGAAGCAGGGGTTCCTCCCCATCGAGCAGGCGTTCCAGTGCAGCGGGGTCTGACAGGTTGACGAGGCCCTGTGGGAAGCTGGCCAACGCCCCAGGATCCAGGGCCAGATGTGTGTGTGAGGCCCTGGTCGGGGGTCCCCGCAGGGCACGTACCAAGCGAGTGAGGGTCTCTAGGAAGGGGTCGGGGCTATGTGGTAGGTCTTCGAGCTCCAGGGACGGCCTGGAAAAGAACGCAGTGGGCAGCTGTGATCACAACTGGGTGTGGCGGATACATCCCCCTTTCCCACATCTTCCCAGTTCCTGCTCCAGCCCTGTGCACACCTGAGCAGTGGGAAGGGCATAGTATCCAGCTGGCCATGCGCTGGCTGCAGTGATGGTGGGGCAGGTGGCAGCAGCAGCAGGGTTGGGGTCATGCGTGTGAAACAGCGAGAGTCAGAGCCGAACAGAAAGGTCTGCAGCTGAGTGATGCTCAGGGTGGCACCTGTGGAGGGTGCGCATGTAGCCGGCGGAGGGCAAGGGCTAAGGGGCAGCCTCTTTCCACACAGTCCTGGGCCTACCTTCTCTGAGTGGCTGAAGGGTTAGGGCGAGGCCGGGGCCTCTCCAGGCCCCCGCTGGAAAGTCCACAGCCAGCACCAAATACCGGGTGTCTCGAGTAGGGCAGAGGTTCTGTGGAGGGGGGGGCTCAGCTGGACTGACAAGGATGGCCAGGCTACCAGGCACCACCCCTCCCATACTGGGAGTAGACTCCCAGGTATACTCTCACCCCAGCAACCCTTCCATTAGGCAGATCTGTATACACCCCAACCAGATGACTGATCGGGGTGGCCCCATGACACTCTCAGGTACCTGTGTGCCCTGCAGTCCAGCCCCTGTGACTGTGACTGGGACCTGGGGGCCAGGTCCAGGGTATAGCACCAGCAAGGCCTGCTCCCAGCGGCTGGCTCCCCCAGCTGGAGGCTCTTGGAACTTCAGTAAGAGCGTGGGCTCCCATATCACTGTGGGACAAATATTGGTGACAAGTGAGTCTGAGGATACTTGTTTCCATCCCTCAAGACCTGTCCTACAGAGATTTCCTCAGGTGGAATCTAACTGGGAATCTCCTGAGGCCATGCAGACCTGAAGAACCCTGGTCCAAGGGGTGAGGTGAAGACCTTGCTTGAAGGGACTCAGTGGCCCTCCTTTGTTTGCCTGTCAGGGAAGTTGGGGTGTTGTGCTCTGCCATTCTGCCCACTGCAGCTCAACCATGAGTGTACAAGGCTCTGCCTTGCCTTGCAGCCAAGTAACAGGATTCCCCACAGCCTCTGCCAAGACCTGGGGAGGAGCCTCAGGTAGTAACAGGACCAAGGAACAGGGGGGCTGAACAGAGTCCATTACGTACCTTCAGCCAGATGTAGGACCAGCAACTGCTGACCCCGAGTCTCCTCCAGCCAAGTCCCAAGGCGCTGCAGGGCTGGCAAGGTAGCCTGGGTGTCAGGACTGCAGACTCCAAAGGTGGCCAGGTCTTGAGGCCCCCAGTGAGATTCCTGTACAGCTTCCAGAAAGGCATGCTCATAGCTATCCAGGGCCCCTACCACCCTCAACGGGGCTCTGCTTGTGTTCCCCAAGCCTCTCAGTGTCACCAGGCACAAGGGCTCTGGGGCACTGGTGGGAGGCCAGACCCCATCTTCAAAGAAGACGAGGCCCCCAGTGCTGGTGGCTCTTTTGAGCTCTTCTCTGAGGGTCTTGGCCTGTAACACAGTGCCCATGGTCACCAGCAGCAGTGCTAACAGAGAGAGGGGTGGTCCCTGCATGGTGGCACAACAAGGGCTGGGAGGCCCTGCTTATATGCATGGCTGAGCCAAAGTGCTTGGGAGGGACACCCCTATCAACTCTGGAGGTGACCTTGGGGGACAGGGCCTGGTGCCCTGCATGCACAGGTGGGAGGTGACTTTCTCAAAGGGTTTTCTGTCCTCAGAGCCAGGCCCACAGTCAGAGGCTAGAGCTGTCCTTGGGTAGTTCCCATCTGCCTAGGGAGCCCACCTGGAAGACTCACAGGCCCGGGGTCATCATGACTTCAATGAAGGCAAGCAGCACCCGCCCATCCCCTCCACCACAAACACACACTGCAGACAGGGAGACATGGGGGAGGCTGTTTAATGGGCTCAGGGCAGGACAAAATAGAAAACTTCCCAAGGACTGGCCATGGGAAAAGGCTGCACCTAGGCAGCAAGGGATGCTGGGCCACTGCTCAGTTGCCTGGGGGAGGGGGAGGCATGCTCCCAGGGCCATCTGACGGGAGTGGGGGCCTTAGCATGGGAGGCATAGAAGCTGGGTGCACCCCAGGATTTGAAGGGTGAACCCCTGGAGGCTGAGGATGGACCACAGGGGTGGCAGGGTGTACCCCAGGCGGAGGCTGGGGGTGTACCCCAGGAGCCTGAGGGTGGATAGCAGGGGCTGGGGGGTGCACCCCAGGGGCCTGAGGGTGAACTGCAGGAGCAGGTGGATGTACTCCTGGAGCCTGAGGATGAACTCCAGCTGATGGGGGAGGGTGGACCCCTGGAGCTGGTGGGTGGACCCCTGGAGCTGGTGGGTGGACCCCTGGAGCTGGTGGGTGCACTCCAGGGGCTGCTGGGTGCACTCCAGGGGCTGCTGGGTGCACTCCAGGGGCTGGGGGATGGACCCCAGATGTTGGTGGGTGTACCACTGGTGCTGGGGGGTGTACCCCAGGGGCTGGAGGATGGACTCCAGATGTGGGTGGGTGGACTACTGGGGCTGGTGGATGGACCCCAGGAGCTGGTGGAGGCATCTGGGGAGGTCCAGGGGGCCCAGAAGGAGTAGGCCCTGTGGGGGGCATAGGGGGCAGAGGCAGGCCACCAGGCGGAGGTGGGGGCAAGGCATCCGGCAGTGGTGGGCGAGGAGGCAGGCCATTCATGAGCGGGGGTGGGGGCCGCTTGACGCCCGGGGGTCCGGCTGGGAGACTGGGTGGGGCTGGTGGCTTTTCCATCTTAAAGTGGAACTGAAGAAAAAACTGCAGGGGGGAGGTGGTCAGAGATTGGAGTGCTGTAGGGCTATGGAGTACCTAGGCAAGGTTCACCACACCTCACCTGCTTGGTCTCTCGGTTCCAGTGGGTCCAGAACTTGCCCTCAGCCTTGTCAATCTCCCGGCTTGGCACCTGAGAGAGGGAAGAGGAGGCTGCAGCACCCCAGGGTGGGGGCCAGGACAGACAGACAAACCCAAATCTAGCTGCTTTTCCCAATCCTCAGGGTCACTACCTTAAAGGCAATGGTCTCATAGGGCTCAGCAGCCATAAGTAAGTATTGCCAGCGGCGGTCCGGGGGCTCGATCCTCTGCTCGTACGCAGACATGAAGCGGTGGCGTGGCATGATGCCCTCGGCAATCTCAGGGTAGTCAATCTATGGAAGGAGCACAGCAGCCTTAGCACCACCACCTGGCTGCCCGGCCCACCTGTCAGCAGTCTCATCTCACCTGGAACAGTAGGCTCTGCTGGCCCATCTCTGTGTCCCTCTGCTTCGTCACTGCAAAACACAGGGGATGGGACTGTCATTTGTCATGGGTGCTCACCAGAGTAGGATTCCACTTACAAGGCGTGGCCTCTCTGCTCTTTGGCCACCTGGCTAGGATCCAAATGAGGGCAACCCAACCCAGCACTGTATGGGGGGACAGTGAGGGGAAGGCCTCAGGACAGTGTGGACAGCCCTCTGCAACAACAGTGTCACAGCTTCCCCAGTACCCTTACTGCCAATGGTGACTCTTGGGTAACTTGGCTACCTATGTTCCTGTTGGCTACATGATTGGCTTTTTGGTCACTCAGGGTCCCTGCTGAGAGGCTCTGAGAGCACTGACTGCAGACAACCTGCCCAGCCCCCCCCCCCAGTCTTCTTCTGGAAGTCTCTAGTGGGAAATAGGTACTTATCCACCAATTATGGGTTGCTGAGGATAGAGGAGGCAGCAACTGTGTGTCCTAGGGACCAGTGTATCCCGGGCCAGGGATACACCAATATGTCTCATTTATGGGCAGGCTGCCACACACCTACACACACCTTTGTAGCCAGGGCGGCCAATCTTCACAAACTTCTTCACCTCCACCTTGACCTTCTCAGGTGCTGGCTGTGCAGGGGCTTCTTTAGCCTCCTTGGCAGCTCGCCGAGCCCTACAAATAGGAAACACAGGTGCATGGCCTCTTTACTAGCCACCAAGGCCAAGAGCCCAGGTGTCAGAACCTCCTGGCCTTGGAACTCACAGACAGGATGAGAGCTCAGCCCTGGAGTACACCAAGCAGGGACAGAATAGGTGGGCACCAGTCTTCCCCACTGTCCCTGCTCCTTAGCCATGAGCTCTGCAGTGGCCCTTTCCTCCCTACCCACCAAGCCCCACCAAATAAAGGCTCACAAGTTAGTCTGATGTTTCTTCCCTTGGGTGTGAGCCAGGTAGCTGCCCTGCAAAGAGAAAGGAGACACATCACTGAAGGCGGGGAGGGCAAGACAGGAGGAATCTAATGGTGTCCAGCTCTGACATAAGGCCCAGAGCCTGGAGCTCACTGGCGCACGCAAGCTTGCAGGGGATGCACAGTGGCTATGGCTGCACTGGGGAGACATATTACTTGGCATGCCACCCTGGGAATTCCTGTGGTCAGGACCAACACACACACCCAAGGTCTTTAGTGCTGACTCCATCACAGGGGTCTGGAAGGTGCCTGGGGAGCTCCCAACAGGGGGTGGAGGCCTAGGCTAAGGCTCCTCCTCAGCGTCTTGCCCAGCTGTGTCAACCTGACTCCATTGTCAACTAAGTCAAATGCATCCCATTTACTGCTGATTGGTCTGGTCATCCAGTGAGGGTGGGGAGGAAACTTCCTGGATTGACATGGACCCCAGAGTCCTTTCCCCAGAGAAGAGTATCATAGCTACATCACTTCCCTGTGGCTGGTTGGCATTCATTACTGTTTGTGGGGGCATTCACAGAGCAAACATGCTGGCTCTTATCTTGACACCAAAGCCAGTGAAAGAAAAGGGGCAAAATGGTTAGCTGGTCTCTGGGCCACCTTCAGTGTAGGGCCAGGCAGGAGGGTCACAAGTTATTGGCCTCGTCAGAGCTACACAGAGAGACTCTGCCTCAAGAACTGGACACAGATATAGTTCAGCTCAATGGCTGTTTACCCAGCAAAGCTGAGAAAAAAAAAAGGATTCAACTGAACCAGATCAACTCTAAGGAAACCCTGGGCTCTGGGTGACAGGTCAGGTGGGAGCACATACCTCATTGTTATGCAGTGTCAGGCAGAGTTTGCATTCATAAGACCCCAGATGGTTTTTCATAAAATACGGGTCCTGGAAGGGAACACATGCACCCATTAGATGGCAAAGCCTGGCCCCATGAACCAGGGTCTGAGGCGTGGCAGGGAGCTCTGTGGTTGTGGGGAAACTGCCCCCCTCCACACCCCTACTGTAGGCATCCCCCCACCTTGTTGATGTCAATGGTTTCTAGGGCCAGCTGGCGCAGGCGCTCCCTGCGATCCCGATTACTTTCAGAGGAGGAGGCCACGCCTCCACTCCCAGTCTTGCCTCCAGGTCTGTGCTGGAAGTCCATGGTGCAGGCCTGGGAGCTTTAGGGACAGGAATATACCTGGGGGAGCAAGAAGGGTGAAGGTTGAGAACATAGACATTCATGCAGCAGGTGGGCCATCCCTTGCCTTCTATGTTACAAGTTGGATTCTACCTAATCCTTAGGGTGAATGTGGACTAGGTGGAGAAAGAACCAGTTTTCACCACACCAGCCAGAGGCCCTAGTATAATTTCTTCAAGCCCGAGCTAGCCATAAACACACTGTGTAGCTGAGGACAGTTTTTTAACTCCAGGTCCCCTCTAAGCACTGAAATTACAGGGGTGTGCCATTATATCCAACTGTTGCTTTGGTGTTATGAGGGGGTGGGGTGACTACTGTCTGCCTTTGAACTTCTGATCCTCCCAAGTGATTTGTCGCCGCATGAGCCACCTCTGCCCGCTGTGTCATATTAAGATGGGATCTAAGTAGCCCTGGCTGTCCTCAGAGATCCACCAATTGGGATTAAAGAACCCCTCACCCCTTTCTGACACACAGAGCATATGGTTTTCCTAGTCTCCCAAGTTCTGAACCCTGTCCACAGCTGCAGGGTGCTGTGTCAAGGGTCCCACCTTTCAGGCTCAGCCAAAGCCACCAGGCATGTTCTCAAAACACTTTAAACTGCGTGTCTGCCCCAGGACCTTGGTTTAAACCCAGAGGTAAACTCAGAGGCAGTGTCCAGGAGGTAAGTGGAAGGCAGTCCTTGTCACCATTGCTGGAACCTCATACAGCAAAAGGGACTTTGCAAACGATATCAAGAGTATTGAGGGCCAGGTATTCTTATTATCTACAATGTCACCACGGAGTTCACCTAAGACGTAGACAGGAGGGTTCAGGGCAGAGACATGGTGCTCACTGGCTGTTTTTGGCTCTGAAGGAGGAAGGGGCCAGAAGCCAAGGGACACACAGGCCTCAGAGATGCTGGAATGGCTGAGAGCATGTGCGCTGAAGCTGTCTGTGGGCAGGACCAGTCTTTTGGGTCTGTTACACTCAGACACCCAGGACTGAAAAACAGAAGCACTGTTTACATCTTCAAAAGCTACAGGAGGCACACATTCACAGATAAAGTTGGCCAGATGCAAGAGCAGAGTCTAGTCAGCTGCCAGTCAGCTTCCCAGAACAAGAGAGTACCTGGAGCAGTGACAGGATGGAAACCTACTCTGACTTCTGTCAAGGGAACAGGGTGTCCAGCCAGCCATAGGCTTGAGGGTGCAACTCTGGGCCCCTAGGATGTGTGCTTTCATGTGTAGGGGTGTGGGTACCCAAAGATGGAAAAATGGAATTCATCTGTTTTTTTTCGGGGGGGGGGGCAGGAGCAGGACAAAACTAGCCTGGGTGAGCAGACTCCTTGGTTCTGGGGTAGGAGCAGAGTCTTGCAAAATGTCACCACTGAGCTACCTTCTCAGAATACATGTGATGGGCATGGTGCTGTACACCTTTCATGCTGGCTCTTGTCTTGGGAGGCCAAGGTAGGAAGATGCCTGAGTTGGAGGCCAGACTGTGCTGCACAGTGAGATCCTGTCTTAAATAAGAGATAAAAGGCACTGTGTAGGCTGGAAAGATGGCTCAGTAGAGAAAAGCATTTGGTGCCCTTGCAGAAGATCCCAGTTCAGTTTCTAGCACCCAAATTGGACAGCTGACAACCACCTGAAATTCCAGCCCCAGGGGACTGACACCCTCTTTGGGACTCGTTCACAGGCACAGACACACATATGTACACACATACACATGAAAGATAGTCTTGAAAAAAGAAACAGGAGAAAAGCAATTTCACCAGCATTTATCTTTCTGCTTCCGGACTACAGCTGCCTCAAGCTCCTTCCCCACCAAAGCGGATTGCACCCATATACTGTCAGCTGTAATAAACCCTTCCAAACTCATCAGGCAGATGTGGTGACACACGCTGTTAATCCCAATAGTCTGGAGGCAGAGGCACCACGATGCTTGAGTTAGAGGACAACCAGTATTGTGCAGTGAGACACCGTCTGAAATAAAAGTCCTGACAATGGCTGTATGGGCTCACAAGTGAGGCTTGAGACAGGAGGACGAATGGACACGTGCTACCTCACGGACCACCATAAGACTATGGACAAATGATCGACAGGGAAAGAAAAGTAGTATTTGTGCAGGTGATGGTCTGGTAGGTGGCCTGGTCCAAGGATAAATTACTTTGGGTGGAAATACCGTTATCTTTTAATTCCAGCAAAGGACCTGCTCAGGTAGGCAGGAGCAGCAGTAGCCAGGGCGCTGACTAACGACGAGGAAAACTGAGCAATCGAGGAGCTCAAAAGACTCTCAAGGCCTCTGCAGAACCACCCTGGGGGCCACAGACGCGCCACGGAAGTCCGCGATGCCGCCACGGCCAATAGGCCATGCGAGAGCGCGCCGCCCGCCCGCCCGCCCAGTCCCGCGCCCTCGCTCCTACTTCCGACCCCCTTCCAGGACACCAAAGCCTGGGTAGCCGCCATCGACAAGCCCAGTAACACCTCACCGGCGCCAAAGGCCGCGCTGCCCAGGTTTAGCCTCCGCGACGGCCACGACTTCTGTGTGCGCATGCGCACGACGGGCTAAGCATTCACTTCCGGGAGCAAATAAGGAGGAGTTTCAGGTGTACGCATGCCCAGAATATGGAGTCGGCTTAAATAGGCGCGAGGAAAAGGAGCACCGGAGTCTGAAGTACGCAAGCGCGCTGAGTTATTCACGAACTCTCGCTCGTCTCTAAGTATCGTAGCGCTGACTATCGCGACAGGACGAAATCATGTTTCACCTGTCTCGGAAAGCACTTAGCTTAACGTTGGGCGCTACGAATCTAACTTAATATCTCATGTTTAGTGTGTTTGACGGTTACCTAAGACAGGCAATTTCCTTCCTTTTTGATTCTGCGTGCAACTACGCCGACAGACAGGGTAGCGCCACGCAATGGCAAACTGCGCGACAAGCCTCCACGCGCATGCGTAGCGGCTCTGCTGGGACTTCCGGGAACGTTCCCTGAGACTTTTGTGGCGCTGGCCGCACCTTCAGAGAGGACGGCAGCCGAGAGGCAGGGCGCGATTTGGTTCGCGCGGATCCCAACGGCGTGATGCGGTACAACGAGAAAGAGTTGCAAGCGCTGTCCCGTCAGCCGGCAGAGATGGCGGCCGAGCTGGGCATGCGGGGCCCCAAAAAGGGCAGCGGTGAGGGGTCGGGGCCGCGGCTGGGGCACTTGGGCGGGCCGGTGCGATTCCCGGGTGGGCGGATGAAACCAGTTCCGCGCTGACACCGCCCTGTGTCCACAGTGGCCAAGAGGCGGCTGGTGAAGCTGGTGGTCAACTTCCTCTTCTACTTCCGCCCGGACGAGGCCGAGGTAGGGGCGTGGGGGGCTCGGGGGGCCCGCGCGGCCCGGAGGCCGGCGCTCATGGCCGTGTCTCGCGCAGCCCCTCGGAGCCCTGTTGCTGGAGCGCTGCAGAGTGGCCCAGGAACAGCCCGGCGGCTTCTCCATCAGTAAGTGCGCTGGTCCCTACTGTCCCCACCCTGGACTCTGCTCCGAGCATCTGCCCACCCCCTTTACTCCCCCAAAACCTCCATTTGTCCTGGATCCCGCATTTCCTGGGGTCCATCGCTGGTGCCACCGGGTCTGATCCCCGTTGGTCATAGTTTCTTCCCCACCTTCAGTTCCTATTCACGGCAGGGATAGGTGCAGCCTGCGCAGACTTGGTTTGTATAGTAGAAATAGTCGCTGCCACGGGCAGGGCTTCTGAAGTGACATCTGACTCCGTTTTCTCCCTTGGCGATCTTTTTATTTATTTATTTTTGGCTTTTCGAGACAGAGTTTCTCTGTGTAGCTTTGAGGACTGTCCTGGAACTTGCTCTTGTAGACAAACCTGGTCTCAAACTCAGAGATCCTCCTGCCTCTGCCTCCCGAGTGATAGGATTAAAGGTGTGCACCACCAACGCCTGGCCTTCCCTTGGCGATCTTTACAGAACCGTCTTGTAGAGATTTGGCCCTCATGTCTTCCTCCATCATCACAGAGGGTTCTCCATCTGTATCCGTTTTCTGCTTTTTGCATGTGTATATGGAGGCCAGATGTCAACAATACTTTTGTATGTGTGATTTGTGTGAAAGAGCATGCCACTAAGGTCAGAGGAAATCTTTGGGTAGTTGGTTCTCATCTTCCACTATGTGGGTCCCTAACATTGAACTCTGGTCATCAAGCTTGGCAGCAAGCCCTGAGAATCCAACCGTCTGTTTCCTCAGCACTGAAATTATAGGTACCTGTTGTGACATAGGAACTGGGGCTTGAACTCAGGTCCTCATGCTTAACCTGTGACAGGCACTTAACTTGGTGTTCACTTTAGGGTCTACCCTAATGGCCTCACATTAACCAACTCCATATGCCATTGCCTGGCTTCCCCAGTGAGTTACCTGTTTGGGAGTCAGGACTCTGGAAGAGCCAAGCCAGCATATGATAAGCAGAAGATGGCTTGGTAGGACAAGAACCCTGGTGAGAGGAAGCAGGGCTTTGAGGCCAGCAGGATTGGACTGGGTGGACACTGACTAGAGGTGGCTCCCTTTAATCCTTTCCAGGCTTCCTGGAAGACCTCAGCAGGAAGTATCACTTTGAATGCTGTAGTCAAGAGCAGTGCCAGGAGTGGATGGATGCTCTTCGGAGGGCCAGGTGGGGCCTTGGGGACCACTGGGAGCTGGGTGGAAGCATGAAGGAATGTGATCAGTGAGCCAGGCCCTTTCTTCCAGCTATGAGTACATGCGGCGAAGCCTCATCTTCTACAGGAACGAAATCAGGAAGATGACAGGCAAGGTGTGTAGGGTGGTGGGGAGGTAGCAGGTGGGAGGTGCCTTCTCTGGTCTTGCTCACAGCTACCCCGTACCCCACAGGACCCCTTGGAGCAGTTCGGCATCTCTGAAGAGGCTAGGTTCCAACTGAATAGCCTGCCTAGGGATGGGAAGACTTGTGTTGGCTCCCAGCTAGATTTGTTGGACTGACCTCCGCTGGGCCCCTGGCTATCTTGGGAGGTGTTTTTTAAAAAATGTCTATTCAAAGCCAGATGTCCAGAGGAGGTGGGCAGGAGCTATGGTCCCTGTTCCCATGCCATCTCCCCGCCAATACCTTTGAGTGCCCCCACCCAAGGACTGAGCCTGGCTTCCGTTACCAGGTGAATGTATAATGCTAGGTAAAGCTGTGAACCCCACTCCTGCTGATAGAGCAGGCCATGGTGCTGGCCTTCAGTGCTGAGCCCGCTCCTTAATAAAGGTACCTCTTTTCCAAGCCACACAGTGAAGTGAATGGGGAGAGAAGGGGGCACAGGCGGCAGAACTGCTCTTCTGAGAGGTTAGCAGCTAGGCCAGTTGGTGGGACAAGTGGTGGTGGCACACACCTTTGATCCCAGCACTAAGGAGGCAGAGGCAGGTGGATCTCTGAGTTCAAGGCCAGCCTGCTCTACAGAGGAATTCCAATGCAGCCAGGGCTACACAGAGAAATCCTAGGTGTCATCTCTACCTTCCCCACAGGCATCTCCAGCTGACTTGGTCAGGTTCTGCCTCTCTGCCCTCGGGTTGACCATGTTTCCCTAGGCCCCACCCACTGTATTTGGTGGTGAAACACATGTCCCTCAACAGCAGAAGTGGGATACTCTGGGGGCCCCAGCAACCCTCTGGCTGGACAGAAGTGGGCCAGGAGGACACATCCACCCTTCATCCCCAGGTTTGCACTCCAACAACCAGAACCATGTGGGTTTAGGCCCAGGTTCTGTGCCTTTAAAGGTGAGGGGTGGTGTTCCTGTAGGAATCTATTGCCCTCTCTCTGCACCCCTGCACCCACCCTGCGTGCTCGTGCCTGACCCAGGGCTGGATACCCTCACTGGGGAGATGGGAACCCTACCTGTTTTTGTGGGGGCATATATACATGGGAGTCCTAAGTGGCCCTGGGTAAGGACATACCTCCTGGCGGTGCTAGGGAGCCTTGACTCAGTGGCAGGTCTTCCTCAGGTTCCTCCAGAGCCATCAGCCTTCCAGGGAGGTGGGCATGCTGCTCTTCCATGACAGAGACCACAGAGACCACACTGAGAACTGGCTCAAGTGAAAACAGCTTTTTATTACTGTGTCTAGAGGTGGCGACAATGTGTGAGATGACTTGGGGGAACCAGGGAGAGAACAGTGCACCCATTAAGTACAGAGGTCATTACAAGACAGAGCAAAGCTGCATCAAGTTATAAACAGGCCAGGCTGCCAAAAAAGCTGTGTAGGTTTAAGGTGGGAACCAGGAGGTGTGTCTGATAGAGTCCCCATGTGGGCTAGCCTGGGAGTGGGTCCCAGTCTGTATAGGGCTTCCTATCATTTCCTGAGCTCAAGCCCTAAGCCGGCCTTGGGCCGGAGTGGCAGGGACCACTGAGGCGGCCTCACCCCATGCTAGGACCATCAGCCAGGTGACCCAGGGCTACCATGAATCAAGGTCAGTTTATTAGGAGTTCCCCTTTCTTGTGGGCTCAGGAGGGGACTTGCACCTGTGCCTGCCTGAGCACCTGTGGCCTACTGGGCTATGCGGGCCATGGACATGCAGTATCTGTCTCCTAACACTCAAGTAAGGTAGAGGCAGCAACCACGGGAGGAGCAGCTGCCAGGGTGGCAGGTGGTATACAGTGTTCACTCTGTCTTATTCCAGGCCTGGGATGTGCTAACTTTATGGCCACCCTGCCCTGCAGCACCGTAGCTAGCTGTGGTGTGCAGCAACAGGCCTGGCTAGTATTGAGCACCATCACAGGGGTAGGGGCAAAGGAGGGATGGGAAGGGACACCAGCACCATCTTCATAACTGCTATGGGAGACAGGTTAGGCTGAGGGGTCAACATGGCCTCTCCACTCACAGCCCACCCATCTCAACCTGAAATGAGCAGCATTGAGGGCAGTGAGGACTGCCTTAGCAAGCCAGATCAGCCCTGGCCCCTTTGCAGCCACACCCAGTACACTTGTCCCCAGGACCAGGAAGCAACTCCTAGAGGCAGACAGTGCCCACAGTGACCAGAGGCCCTGGGTGGTCCAGCACAGCACATGTGGGCCACACTCCTGCAGGGTACCTGGCCAGAGCCTTTTTTTTTTTTTTTTTTTTTTTTTTTTTTTTTGGTGCATTTGAATAAATAAAAGTATTTTTCCTCCTCACTTTTCTTTCCTTTAAAGTTGCTGTGCATTATACAATCTAAAAATAAATGCAATCAAGTCTATGAAATTTATAAATCTCCATCACATCTCTATAAAATACTGTCACTCATCATGTGACTCTCTTATACACAGATGCCAGGGGACCCACAGTGGGCCAGCCCCATGTCACCTGGCCAGCATGCCCCGAGCCAGAAAAGCAAAGAAATACAAAGTAAATGCACTTGTCACAGGAGCCACCAAGCCCTGCAGTAGCAGCCCACACCTGTCAGCACCACTCAGCCTTGCCAGGCACCCACAGTCCTACCCCAGACCAGTCTGTACCCACAGCAAAGGCACGCCTGATGCCACAGGTTTACCAGTGGGGTGTTCACAGTGACAGTGGGCGAGTTCCAAGGAGGGACCAAAGGTCAGCCCCCATCGGGCATGCCTGGCGTGCCTTTGGTATCAGGACAAGCTGTGGGGGGCGCGTCTGAGAGCTGTTTGACCATGGTTCACATCAGGGGCAGCACCCGGGGTGGAGTTAGAGGCGGGCGGGCGGGCGGGCGGGCGGGCATGGGCTCGGTGGTGAGATAGCACCGGGGACGGAGTCAAGAGTCCTTGTGGCCAGCCCGGCAGGCCAAGTCTTTATGTGATTCTCTCTCACAGACATTAGGCGTCTCAAGAGGTTGCCTTGGACGACTTTGATGGAATAAAATAAGTCAGAATTGCTTATACTTTTTAAAAAAAAAACGATAAATACTTTATCTAAAACTATCGACAGTACAAACTGGACCAGTCCAGCACCTCCTGCGGTGCCGCCGATTCAGAAGCTCCACGTCCGGCTCCGCCGGCCTGGCAGGCAGCAGGCTTGGTCCACACTGTCCTTGCATAGGTCGTGGCTGAGGTAGAAGTCCTAGTTACCTACAGGGAGGAGGAGCATGGGTTAGGTGTATTTCAACACGCCCACCATGGCTGAGCTGCCCCACAGGGCAGAAGGGGTGCTCCTGGCAGGTAGTACTGTTGGGCCCAGCCCCTCCAGCTCTGCCTTGCTGAGCACACAGGGTGGATCAGCCGGAGAGGCTCTAGCCCTAGAACCTCCAGATGGCGTTGGCCAGGCTGTCCTGTGCCAAGGCTATTGCTACCACGTGGCCATCCTCTATAGAGAAGGCAGAGGCCTGGCCACCTAGCTCTTCATTGATAGGGTAGGTCTACCATCATGATGACAGCCAGGCAGGGCTTGACAGCTGCTGTTCAGGGAGAGGTAGACAGGACAGGTACCTGACCCCTGGATCTTAAGCCCCAACTCTGTGCTCATGGACGTACATGTTACCTCAGACACCTTTCTGCCTGTGGACAGAGCTTACAACTTCACCCACTGACTATCCCTTGCACAGGTAGTCTGTTGGCGGAGGCTTTAATTTAGAGTGAAAAATGTGAGCCCCAAATCATGAACTGCCATGGGCCAGGAGCCTCATGGTGGGTTACAGTTACCTTGGCTTTTGTGCACCACACTCGATTCTCATCACCTCAGCTGCTGGCTGAGGATCAGGTATTCCTACACAATGGTGGCCCTGCCTCCCTTAGCCCCCCCATCTCCACCACTCAGGACCCTGGGCATCTGCCGAGCCCTGCCAGCGTCTTCCAGGCAAGAGGAGGGGTGGTTTGGCTCTAGCCTTACCTTACAGAACATGAACTGCTAGCTAAGCAAGGTCTTTATCGAGGCTTAACCCCCGAAAGGTGCGCGGCATAAGGAGGCGGCATGCCAAGGGAAACCCACACAGCAGATGGCCCCGAGGAGCTGGCCTGCGGGGCGGCGGGCGCGGCCTGCGCCAGGGCCAGCCGGGGCAGGGGCTGGTGGTGCACCGTGAAGGAGGGGCGGGAGACCTTGTGTGGGAGGGAGGCGAGCTTGACAGACAGAGAGGCGTTAGCAGGCTGCAGAGAGGCGGCAGAGGAGGGGGGTAAGAAAGCTTTGTTAGCCGGGAGGGAGGCCAGGCTCTGCAGAAGCACTGGCTCTGAGTTAGAAGCCAGCAGCGCAGGTGGAGGAGGCAAGGCGACGTTAGGAGGAGGGGGTGCATGGAGGACAGGTGGCCCCGCAGGGGGCCGGCCCAGGTGCTGAGGAGGAAGCAGGGGAGGTGGAGGGGGCGGCCTAGTCTCGACTGAAGCCGCAGCCTGAAAGGAAGAAGCCGAGGTGCTAGCCGCCGCCTGCAGCGGGCTCAGGCCCAGTGTGGCACTGCTACACACAGCCCCGCTGCTGACACCAGCTCCAAACGGGTGAGCAGAGGCAGAAGGCACCGCATGGGTAAAGACACCTGTAAACAGGAGAGAAAAAGCAGCTTCAACAGGCAGCATGGTCCAGGCAGGCGGAGCATGAGGAGCACAGCCGCCAGCAGGGAGAAGCAGAGAACAGTGTGAGTCCAGTCCAAGCGCAGGCACAAGCAGCAAGCAGTGGGCTCAGTGCAGGGACACTTACCTGCCAGGCTGAGGCCCTGCCCCTCGGGCCCACCTGCCCGCCCCTGCCCAGCCAGGACTGCACACACTGGGCCGAGGCCCAAGCTCCACTCCGCCCTGTGTCTGAGCAGGCCCTCCTGGACTCATTCTCGCACCAGGCCCACTTCCACGGACCAGCCATGAGGTATGTGGGTGGTCACCTCAAACAGGGGACGCCCCAGAAGAAAGAAATGCCTAGTTAAGTGCACCGTGGTCTTCTGAAAACAAGAGGCATGCGTTACAAGTCTAGCCAGTCTCCTCCAGTCACAGTGATGATGGCTAGAATGGACACAGGGCTACACTCCCCTTGTGCCCTCTAGAGGGCTAGAGAGGAACCTCCAAAGTGGCTGGTGAAGGACTGAGCTCCGCGGACTGGGGCTGGACCTCAGAAGTCACCCCTTCCTTGCCTACCTCCAACGGTTCCGCCGGCCACCCCAGAGGAGAAGCTGCCCATGGTGTGAGAGTTGGTGAGTCGGGTCGCAGTGGATGATACATGCACCAAGCCTGCAGCAGCTGGCACAGTACTGAACAAGGACTGCAGCACGGATGAGCCAGCCACAGAGCCCAGGTTGGCCTGCAGGGACATGGGGCCCAGAGTAAACTGGGGACCCGGGGTGAAGGTGCTCAGGAAGGGCCGGGGAGCCTGGGCAGCAGGTGTCACACTGCCCGCAGAGGAAGCCACAGTTACGAGGCCAGGGGCACCAAGGAGGCCACCTGGAGGCACAGCTGCAGCAGAGATGAAGAGGTTGTGGCCGCCCTTGAAGTCCAGCTCCCGGTCACGGCCCTTGCTGGCCCTGCTGCCATGAGGCAATGCAACCTTGTCTGCAGGCCCACACAGGGGTAGGGCCTCGCTGGACTCCTTGCTGGCACTGCCCTCACCCTTCAGACCCTCCGGCTGCCGCCTGCTGAGGAAGGGGTTGGCTTCTGTGGTATTGTCCTTGCCCCGCTGGGATGGGAAGCTCACGGAGGCGCTCAAGCTGGCCACTTCAGGGCCCTTATGGGAGAGGGAAGCACCATCGTTGAAGCTGTGTAAACCAAGGTCTGCGGCGAGGCCCCCACTGAAGGCCAGGCCATTGGGAGGATTGGCGCCAGGGCTCGGGCCCTCAGCTGCAGCCAGAGAGCCAGCAAAACTCTTTCTTGAGTGGGTGGGGAGCTTGGTCTCAGCAGCAGGCTCCTCCAGAGCTGGCCGGAAAGAGAACAGGGGGCTGTGGCTCAGCGCAGAGCCAGCCTGTAGCGGACTGTCCACGGCCTTGGCCAAGCTGAGGTCAGAGATAGGTGAGAAGGTGGACTTCCATTTGCTGCTATTCATAGGCTCACTTGAGGGGGCAGACTTCCTTCCCACCAGGCCACCACCTGATGGGAGAAGTCAGTGTCCATGTGAGCCTGGGACCTGCTGCTTGCCTCAGTGGGGAAGTGGGCTGTGCCTACCATGGGGCTGACACCTATGCCACTAAACAGAGGTGCTGGAGAGGTGAGGGGATATAAGGGGCTGGCTCATGCACTGTGAAACTTTCTCTTGCCCTCCCCTCCCAAATGATCATGCACCAGTTGCAGTTCTAGGCTGGGCTGTCCCGAGCACAGGGCACCCCCCCTCCCGCCCCCTCACCTCCAGGCTCCAGTCAGGGAGCACATTACCATTTTCCAGCGTCTTCGGGGGAGATTTGCTTTCTAAGGAGATTGTTGCAATTTTTCTCTCAATTCTGTACAAACAAAATGATCACTGATATATGATCTAAGTGCTCAGAGAGGACTCCTAACACAGCTCAGGAAATGATAGATCCAAAGGCTGCCCCCAGGATCCAATGTGGAAGCTCCCTACCCTCAACAGACCTAGAGTAAGTCTAGGTCGCCAGCAGTACTAGGGCCCAGTGTCTGTGTATGGGCTGTTCTGTGGGCACCCCAGAATGTCTGTATGCATGGTGACAACTGTGTATCTCAGGCAGGGAAACCTGTAGGAGCTTCTCTATCCCAAGCCTTACCCAACCCAGAGCTTAATGCATCAGACCCAGTACACAAGCGGCACATACATCCACAATTGTCTACAAGGGCTCAGTGTATCTGTCAGATCCCTAGGAGTATGACATTTGGACAGCAATCTTAGACCATGTCAAAGTCAGAGAGGCAAAGTGTGACCAGAATTCACACACACTGTAGTAACTCTGCTGTGACACTCAAAGGCAGCCAGATGGGATGCTCAAACAGCCAGCAATGCCTCCCCAATGTAGGTGGTGGGGCAGGACACATGGTGGCTCACATAGGCAGAGAGCATCCAGACACACAGATCCCACCCTGCTCACCAAGGAAAGCAAAGGCAACAACCAGTAGGAACACAGCCCAGCGACAGGGAGGTAAAGATGGAAAAGCTGGCTGATGGAGGCTATTTGGCCAAACAGCTAGTGCCTACTCCAACCATCACACTGCAGAGCTGATCCCAGGAGTCCAGGACTCACCGGGCACTACTGGGCTCATCTTCAGAGCCTGGCTCCTCATCTGAGGTCAGTGGTGAGTAATGGGCCCCATTGGTTGGGCCCAGAGGCCGCTCCTTCCTAAGCACTGGGGGCTGATCGTGGTCCTGGTAGGGGGTGGGGGAACTCTTCAGGGAGCTCTCAGGGGACGAGATGGCTGTGATCTCCAGGGGCTGATTGATGTTGCTGACCTGCAGGGTCGGGGAAGGCAGATAAGCCATAGGCCCAGGTCAGGGTTTTGGGGACACCAGAGGGCATATCCAACCATGGAGACCTTTGCAGTCACCAGTTCCGTATGAAAGTACTGGTGGGGAGAGAAGGCCAGTAGGGCTGCGCACCAGCCATTGTCCCTACCCCCAAGCTGGTACAGCTTGTCCCTGGACTTGTCCTGCTGGGACCCCAGCCCCATGGCCCACCCTGCTGGGACAGGTCCTGTGCTTACCATGGAGTTGAGGTTGAGGGGAGACCCCGAAGACTGCGTGAAGAGGCCAGCAACAGTTGGCAGAGCCCGGCGCTTGGGGGACACACCTGTGCTGAGGCTGGGGTTTCCAGCTGACGCACGCTTCCTTCTGCTGCGCTTACGACTGTCCTGCCCATGGCTCTGTACACAGTCCCCACGGGTGCTGGAGGTCAAGGGGCTGTGCCTAGTGGAAGGCGACTGCTTCGAGCTGGAACTGGCTGCGATGCTGAACACGATTCTCCTCTTAGCTTCACTCTCCGGGTCTGAGAAGGCAGGATCAGAAGGCAGCTCCCCTTTGCTGGTGTCCAGCAGTGGACCCTGGGTGGTCACACTCAGACGGGGACTGGCTGAGAGTTGGTGTGCAGGAGAGGCAGGGCCAGAGTTGCGGGGCTGCGGCAGCAGAGGTGGGTGCTGTGGTGGTGTGCTGCGAGACCCCATGATGGCAAAGAGGCTGCTAGGGCCAGAGGACTCGTCAAAAACAGTTGATTCCATTCCAGAGGCCAGAGGTGCTGGGCTGTTGGCCAGGGCCCCACTGATTGCCACCGAACCAGCATAGAAGCCTGTCAATGAAGGCACCAGTTTCTCAAGGGAGGCAAAGAGGCTAGGCCACTGGTGGGGGCTCTAAAGACACCTCACTGTGGCAGGGACAAGCTGAGGTCAGGAACAGCTTGTTAAGAGTAGAGCTGGTGGCTCCAGGGCCATGGCATAGGCAAACGTGGCAAGCCACCCTCTAGACTTCAGTCACCTGCAAACACTGGGGCACACTGGGCATACGGGGTGCTGTCCCTGTTGTGAGTCACCTGAACCTTCAGGGACCAGTTGACCTCAGCACAGGACAGCTTTCTAGAAATGGTCCAGACTTTAAGCATCCCTCAGGAAAAGGTGCCTACCCTGCCCTAGCTCAAAACAAGTCAACAGACACACACTAGTCCCCTGCCTTATGATCACACAGTACCCTGTACTCATAACCTCAGAGCTATACCGGCCGGGAGCCTTAGCCCCTAGTTCTGTCCCACAACGTATCTTCCTCTTCCCAGAGAACATGGCACCTAGCAAGGAGAGACACATACAGGGTTGGGGTGGGGGGAATTACCTGTGGGTGCCAAGGCAAGACTCCTGCTCCCTGCTGCATTGCCCCCTGCACCATGGGTAGAAGCACCGATCTGCTTTTCAAGTGTGGATGAGGCCTCTCGGGGCTGTGGCACAGGGCTGGGCGTGCTCCTCTGCAAGAGAAAAACCCACCTAAGTCAGGGAAGGGTTGGGAGCAGCAGGCCCAACAGGAAACAGTGGGGTAGGAGAGCTGCAGGCAGGGAGCAGGCTGCAGGGAGGACCTTGAGGGAACAGAGTTGGACTAGGCCTGAGATTCCAAACAGAAAGGCAGGTCACATTCAGTTAACAAGGAGCAGGATGAGCACAGGGCAAGGTGGTCAGCTGTCAAGGACAGCTATAACTACATGGTGAGTTCAAGGCTATCCTGAATCAGACAGGACCCTGCCCCAAATAAAGAAAAAGACAAGGCTGCACTGTTTGCCCAGCGTACGCTCAGTGAATGACAGCATTCCCCGGGTCTGGCCATCAGGGACAGCAGCCCAGAGTCACGCCTGCCACAGCTACTTGAGTGAATAAAACCCTTCCAAGCAGACCTTCTATTTCTCTGCTCTGCCTCTTACAAAACATTCAGTGCCCAAACACATGGCACCAGAATTAGCTGTGGATGGCCCCATGGCAGTTCCAGGCTGACCACATACTCAAACTCAACGGCATATGACAGAGACATAAAAACTGAAGTTGAGTCTTGAGCCCCACCACAGCCATCACCACCACCCCCTGGCCCAACACACTCACTGCCCTCTCGGCGCGGCTGGGCAGCACCACACTGGCCAGTGGGATGCTGACAGGCAGCTTGTTGGGCTGCACAGTGCTGAGTGGAATGCTGACGGGCAGGCTGGTGATAGTCTCCCCGTGGCTACTGTAGGCACGCTCCTTCACACCCTGCCAACAGATGGCCATGTGTCACCCAGGCCTGAATGGTAGCTCAGCTGCAGACCTACCAAAGCCATCCTCAGGACATGCCAAGCCTTTGTTTCTGAGACATGCCACCATGGGCTGCCTGGCCTCCTGAATTCCTCTCCATTTCTGCACACACAGTGGAAGCCCCAAACCTCTTAGTCCCACTCTAGATCCCCCCAAAAGACAGCCAAATCCCACTGCAGCATGTAAGCATCTGAGTCCCCCAAGGATACAGTCTCCCAGGGGAGGCTGACACATCTGCCTCTGCAACTACCCTATGAGGCCTGTAGATGCCAATCCCCATCTCCTCCCCAGGTCCCCTAAACTAAGCTCCATGCATCCTACAGATGAGAGCGCTCGCTGCGGGGCAATGCAGTTGCCTGGTCCATTTCTCGTACACTTAGGTGGCTTCTTTCACTCTGCCCTCACCTTCTCACTGCCCTTCTCTGAGGTGAGTGGCGAGGACGCCGGGGAGGAAGGCAGAGGATCTTGGGGGCTGAGCTTCATGCTGTTGGAGAAACCAGGGCTCTGGTAGGGAAGGGTGCTCTCCTTGGCATGCTCTGCCCTGCAGTGAGAGGCCAGTTACCCTTACTGAGTTCACAGTGAGCAGCCCATACCCAACAGTCCCAAGGCAGCAGATGGTGACAGAGTCCCTACATGCACTTGTACTCACCGAGGGTGTGACTCACTGGCAGCTGCTTTGCCAGCCCCGGTGTGGTCCTGGCTCAGGTGCCGCCTCAACACAATCTTGGCTGGTGACAACCGGGTGTAGTCCGGCAAAGCCAGGCCAGACAACTTTTCTAGCCGAGGTCGGCCACTGTGGCTGGGGGTGCAGGGTACTACCTCCTGGTCCAAGGGGGAGGCAAGGTACTGGGGAGTGTTCTGCTTGGACGAGGACCGACTAGCTGCATTGCAGAGCTCGTAGCCTGTGACATGGCCATTCATGGAGAGCTCAGGACTCATGCTGCTGAGGTGCGGCAGGGAGATCTTGGCACAGTCCAGCTCAAGACGCAACCGCCCAGCATCAGCCTCCAGCTCTCGGCCCAGGGTAGCCTTGCCACGCAGGTGCAGGGACAGAGCATCGTCTGGTGGCACACAGGACTTCAACTGCAGGAGCTCCTGCTGTCGTTGGCTCTTCTCCAGCTCCACAATGCTGATCTACATGGTGGGAGGTATGTTACACCCAGCAGGGGCATATGAACATGGCCCAAGGGCACACACACCCCTGTTGTCCATCATCACAGATGCCCTCTCAGAGTGGGAAGATGGGGTCTGCTGTATCACCCCGAACCCCACCTGCAGCTCCAGGCAGTGTCGCTGCTTCTCTGAGATCTGGCTCCGCAGGGCCTGCTTCTCTTTGCGCAGGTTCTCCAGAGACAACGTGGACCAGTCCAGCCTCAGCTCCTCACATCGGGCCCTGAGCTATGGGCAGACAAGAGTATCAGCAGCTGAAGGCAGGAGAGGCAGTCTCTCTGGCAGTGAATCACTCCTACAGTTTGGCATGTGGTAGCAACACCCACGCACAGCAAGGTGAGAAAGGCCTTTGAGACACAGTAGAGTCCCTGGTGTGTGATAAGATATGGGGCAATCCTTACAGAGCCCACTAGCAGTGTGGAGGAGCAGATCCAAGTGAAGCACCAGGGTAATAAGTCAACATACCTCTGGGCTCCAGAGTGTGAGATCCTGCCCTCCACCCTGCCTGTGACCACACCAGCTGCTCCTTTCCAACACACAAACACACAAACACACACACACACACACACACACACACACACACACCAGTTGTAGGCTCTGGCTCCGCAGCTCGCTGTTGTCCTTCTCCAGCTGCTCCGACTGCTCCCGCAGCTGCTGGTTGTGGGCAGAGATCTCCTTCTGGGCCTGAATCAGGTCATTGTAGGTCAGAGCCTTCACGCCCAACTGGAGATGCAGAGGACAAAGCAGGGTGAGTGGAGCCCCACCCCAGTATACAGGGAAAAAGGGGACAATAACCACCCTGCAGCCTTGACACGGGTACAGCCCTGGGCCACCCTCTGCTTCCACAGTGGCTGGATGTTCTGTATCAGTACTTCCATAAGGACAAAAGAAGATGGACTTTGGGTGCCCTAGTCACCTCATCCAGCTTCTGCTGGAACAGTCTTCGGATCTCCTCCTTTTGGGCCTGACAATGACCGAAGAGCTGCTGTGCAGTGCCCAGCAGCTGTGTGTTCTTCTCCTGTGAGGGAAGACAGGAAGAAGTGACCTCAGAGCCCACCAGGAAGCCCCGAACCAAATACTGACATTAAGGCAGAGCCCACACACCTTCTCCTGGTCCAGAAGCTGCTGCAGGTTGGCCTTGTACTGTGGGGTTTTTGTGTAAGCCAGGAACTGCAGGTACTGGATTTTGAAGGACTCTGGAGGTATACAGCAGTGTGTGAATCGGGGTTGGCCTGCTTTAGGGCCACCCCTGCCTGTGACTTCACCTCTTCTCACACCCTATACCTTGAGAGCAGATTCCTCCCTTCAAGTAAGGGACCCGCCAGCATTTCCTGTGTACTGAGTTGTCCTCCACTAAGCTCCCCCAGTACTGATGGTCACACATGTCCCCAGATATGGCACAGGGTCCCTGAGGTCAGTCAGTCCCAGGCACTCACAGGGCAACACCATCCAGTAGGCTTGACTGGGTCCCCACCACTTCCACAACCCCACAGAACTGCTTCATGCCAGAGCCATGACCCACCTAAAAGCTTCTGTAATGCAGGTGGGGTGGGTGCCACCAGCAGTGGATTGGGGGAGTGGAGCTGCGTGCTCGGAGGTAGCTGGTAGAACGGGCTATGTGGTGCCCTGTACGCATCTGTAGGAGAGAGGGGTCCCATCAGCCATCAACCATGGTCTACACTACTGCAGGCAACAAATGCCCCAGCTGGCAAATCTGAGGCCTGACACAGCTGGATGATCCAGATCCCCACTGAGCACCTCCTGATGTATAGTCACAGGCTCGGTACACAGCAGAGTCCAGATGGGGACTTCAGTGGGCAGGAGCCCACAGCTACTCGGCTTGGGACTCCAGAAGAACCCATAGCCACTCTGATGGGAACTCCGTCAAGCAGGAGACAAAGAGGCTCACCCTGGGGTGAAGCTGAGGGTGGGGCTGCAGGAGAGGAGCGCAGGAGGTCCAGTGCACTTTGGCTCTTCTTGGACTTGCGCTCTGCGTTTGCAGCACTCATTTTCTTGGGCCGCCCACGCTTCCGGCCAGCCATCTTCCTCCCTTTCTTGTTCAGCTTCTTCTTCCGGGCTTTAGAGGGAGATGGCTTTTTGACAGTGGCCACACCTGACTTTTCTTCCTCAGCACCAGAGTCCTGGAGAACACAGACAGGCAGTGAGGGGCCACAGCAGGAGTACCTGCAGGGCTGCACCTATGGGCACCCTGTCTAGCAGGCATATGCAGGGAATGGCATCTCACCACCGGTGCCTCAGTGGCAGCTGCCTTGTTCTCTGAGACCTTGGTGGGGGTGGTTGCATTGCTCTTGTTCTCTCGCTGTTGCCTGCGCCGAGCTGCCTCCTGCTCCTCCTGGGGGGAAAGCAGTGGACAAGGGTTCAGTATATGCTGGAGGATCCAGTTCCACCCGCATGAATCAAATGGTCACACACAGAGACCTGGGGAGAGGCATGGTGCCTGACTGGGTCCCACAGCCCCTCTGTGGGGAAGGCACAAGACTAATGGTACTGCAGTCCAGGACTGCCCCTGCACTGACAGCTGCAGAACCACATGGCAACGAGAGCACATGGGACAAGCCAGCCAGCATGGAGACCCAACTGCCCCACTGGGCAGGATGGACACAGTCCTTAAATTTAGGACTATGCAAAGTCAAGCCATGTTAAGGGCCTATGTCCTCTTGGCATAACGTAGCCACTGCAGACTTGAAGCCAGTAGCTGAGCTGACCTTTGTGAGGTGCATGCATGCATGTACCTGTGGAGCTGAGAGAGGGGTGTGGGGGACTCAACACCTCCCTGAGGATACACACTGTTTACAAGTACGCCGGGCAGGATGCACTCCTCTGTGGTGTGTAGCTGCCAGTAACCCTGTCAGCCCTCCACTTCACCACGTGCCAGCAGGTAGAACTCTGTGCTCTGCTATTAGTGCCCACATAAAGTGAACAGACATTTGTTCACACCTCCCCAGGGAATGTCACGCGGGAGCCCAGCTCTATATGTTCCTGGGTCAGACAAGCAAATGCCCACCAGATGTCACTAGAAAAGTGCCTGTCATGGAGCAGACTGCCCAGACTTCCCGAGTGCTAGATAGGTGCCCTGGCATGGGGACACAAAGCACTGGCCCCTCTGCAGGACCATCATTCACACAAAGATGCCCATTAAACTCACAGAGCAGAAGAGGGCTTTCAGGGAGCCTGTAAGGCATTAAGAACCCTTGCTTGAGCCTGGGGACCTTGGTCACACATAGCACCAGCACACACTCAGCCAGCCACCCTGACTCTCGTGAATGTCACAGTTGGGAGACATGCAAACTTACCCTGAGTTTTGGATTTTTCAGACTAGAAAAATAGTTTTCAAGCTAAAGAGAGGAGAAAAAAGCATTGTTAGAAGAGCCCTGAGCACAGACACAAACGGTGCACACATATGCTATCTCCCACAGAGCTGCCAGGCACCAGCAAGACACCAAAGGTGACACAGCTGGAGTCCTATACAGCCCAAAGCAGCTACCCTCAACTCGCCAAATAATTGCTAAGGACCCAGGGACAGGACCTCTCGAGGGGGACACTGGCTACTACACAGGTCTCACAGAGAGAACTTCGTGTGGGAGCTCAGGAGCCTTGGGGCTCTCTTCACCCACAGCAGAAAGCGCAGGGCACAGCTGCTGCTGGCTCTCAGCTGCCAGTTTGTAGCACTGACCCAGGGAAGATACAGAACATAAAGCAGAACTGCCAACATGCTGCCTGGGGAAGCCCAGAGGCCACCAGGACAGAGGACAGAGCCTGGGACTGTACACTGAAGGCTCTGGCAAGGAGGGGAGGCCATGAGAGAAGAAGCCAGGACACACCCAGGGAAGGCTTGGGGTGTGTGGGGAGAATGTGGGGGGGGGGGGCAAGGAGGGAAGGAATGACAGACCGGAGGCCTCCAGATTCAAGGCCAAAACTGCTATGGGCATCTATTCATCAGGGAGACCAAGGGCCGAGGCCCAGAACTGTCAGGTGGCATGGCTGTGACTGTCCCACTCTGTAAAGTGACAAGTGGGGCACACAGAAGCACTATGAGCACTCACTATGGTGCGGTCAATAGTGTGCAGGTAGTAGGAGACAGGCTTCCCAGTCCATGACACAGAGCCCTTCAGGGGCGACAGCTCTACCACACGCATGATGGTGCCAATGTCTGTAGGAAGGAAAGAGCAACAAGTCAGGACTGTGGCAGGAGGCATGCACACCAAACCCCCAAAGGCTGCCCAGCAGAGACAGGGGAGGAATAGTCTGAGGCCAGTCATGAACAAGGTAGTGAGCACAAATGAATGGGGTCAGGCTTTGAGAGCACCCAGCATCCAAGCAAGCATGCAGACCCTGAACTGGGCCAACCAAGCGACTGGCCCAGGGAGGCCCACAGGAGGGCTGCCCACCCATGAAGCGCTCTGTACCCCAAAGCCCCTATTGGAGCACCATCTCCTTCTGAAGCAACATGTCTACAGGACAGAATTCCAACTGACCAGGCAAGGGGATCCAGGTACCCTGTGCACCACCGAGTCTGCAGCTTACCACTCAAGTTCCTGCTATTGATCCTGAAGTTCAGAGGGGCAAAGGGCTTTGAGGAGACGATTCTGCCGCCTGCAACACAGAAGCCCATCACTGCCATGGGTGCAAAAACCCACACAGGCACCCACAGCTTAACACCGCAAACTCAGGGAGGTTTGGGGACACATGGGTAGTACCTGTGCTTTGAGTATCATTCTTGAGAGAATTCTCATGAGACCCCTTGTGCTCACCCCTGACCCTGCAGCCACAGAAAGCAGTGACCCTGTACCATGGTGACAGCTGAGAGAGGGATGGTCCTAGGTCTGAGGAGCAACTGGGATGAGAAGCAAGTTCCCGTGGTTTAAAAAGACAGCACAGAAAGACCCACACAAGACAGCTAACAATATGATTGGCTGATGCAGCTTTTGAGGCTGGGGAGGTGACAACAGAGGCCAGGGCAAGCAAAAAGAATCCCAAGAGGCAAAAAGAGCCATCCAAACCACACAAAGATTCAAGCCTGTGACAGTCACACAGGAAGAGCTACTTTAGGACATGGTAGTCTAAGTGTGAAGCACATACCTTTAATCCCAGCACAAGGCAGAGTAGTCTAGCCTGGTCTACATAATGAGTTCCATGACAACCAGACCTACACAGAGACCCTGCCTCAAAACAGCAAAACCCATCCTGACTCTTGTGAATAGTGCAGATTCTTTTCCTGATGAAAAAACAGTGTTGGTGTGGAGAGGGAGAATGAGACAGAACATCACTAAATTCAGGCTGGCTTTGGAGTACTGTAGCCCAAGCCAGCCTAGGAGCTCTAGGCCTCCTGTCTTGGCCTCCTGGGTGCCAGAACAGGCCTGACTCCTACATCCAGTGACAGCTCAATCAAGAGATTCAAAGGGCAACACCTGACATAGTGGTACATGCCTGCCATCCCAGCACTTGGAAAGCTTAGGCAACACTATTTTGGGACAGCCTGAGCTACACAATGAGACTCCTTTCTCAACACAAACACACATCTGTGAATGTACACACAGCTGCTTATATCAGTGCACCAGCCTCCAGCCCCACTCCACGTCCTGCTTTCTGAGTCCTCTTCACCAGCAAAAGGGCTTGGCCAGGCCAGCACAAGGTCAGGTCCATGTCTCCAGTGTGCAGGAAAGCAGCAAACACTAAAATGCCAGGCTGAAAGGACAGGTGCCAAACTAGCCAGGGCCTGTGAGCTTCCCTAGGAAGTGATGGGAATGACCTACCCCACCGAGCAAACAAAGGCCTGAGAGGAAAGCACAGTCAGGAGAGGGCCACAGGCACATATGATCCCCATGAATACCCACAAATGGGTATTAGTGCTGGATAGTTTGTGTCAACTTGACACAAACTGAGTCCATCTAGGAAGATGGAATCTCACTTGAGAAAATACCTCCAGCACATTACTCTGAGGCAAGTCCATGGGACATTGTCTTGACTGGCTGGTGTGGGAGGGCCCAGCAAGTGATCCTGAGTAGTGCAAAAAAAAGTAGCAGAGCTTGAGCCTAAGCCAGTCTTCCAGCAAGGGCTCTGCTGCAGCTCCTGTACTGATGTCCTGCGGTGCTGGCTATGATGACCTGTATAAGCCAAACACACCCCTTGCTCTGCAGGTTGCTCTGGTCATGGTGTTTGTCACAGCAGCAGCACATTAGACAACATTGCAGCACTCAGAGGACAGGCAGTGAAGGGGGTGCAGAGAGAGCACTGTCATCAAAGCCTGGCCTACCTGACAACTGGGCACGTCAGCCCGCATTAAATAAGCAGACAGGGACAGTTAACCTAAGACTGGATGACTCACAAAGCTAAGGCCTGACCCAAAAAAGGCAGCAGTAAGAAGCTAATGTGGCTGGATGATGGAGGCACAGCCTTTAATCCCAGCACTCAGGAGGCAGAGGCAGAGGCAGAATCTCTATGAGTTCAAGGCCAGTGTGATCTACAGAGTGAGTTCCAGGACAGCAAAGGCTACAGAGACAGCAGCTAATGATAATATGTATGTATGTATGTATGTATGTATGTATGTATGTATGTAGGTATGTATACACACACACACACACACACATATACATACTATGTGGTGGTGTATACGCTAATCAAATTCAAGGCCAGCATGGACTAAATGACTGAGTTTAAAACCAGCTTGGGTCTAGGATAGAGTCTATCTGGAATAGGAATGAAAATGAGGCAGGGGTGAAGCTCCATGGAGAGTGTCTACTGAACATACAAGGTCCTAGGTTCATCCCACCACCTCAAGTTAACTAACTCTAAAAGCATGGGGCAGGCTGAGGACAGGCTCCATAGCAGACACCTGTAACTTCTGTGACAACAGACAGCTGCAGAGCTGGGAAACCAGACTAAGAAGCTGCAAAGTGTGGGTATCCCTGCTCCCTGAATCGTGACAGCATTATGCAATACAGACAGCCCTGGCCCTACGCAAGGGGCAGTGTGTGTTCTATGCATTTCCTCATTCTGAACCTCTCTGTCACAAGAGAAACTGACAGGCACAGGTAGAACATAAGCTCACAAGCAAAGAGCCCTGGTATGGGTGCTCGTAGCAAAGGACTGCTTCTGAGCTGGGTTAGCCCTTAAACCCATCTGCTGGCTGGCTGTTGGGGATATTATGGAGCACCAGGGCCTTCGGCCACCAGGTCCTCACTTCTGCCTTGCAGCCTAGGAGCTGGGGAAGGGTGCCAGGAAACAGGTGGGGCTTAGGGCTTCCAGGGACTACCCATCATGAATAGGGAGGGTTGCTGAGGACTTCTCAAGGAAGAGTGATGGAACTGTGTGCCCCACCCCCCAGAGAGGGTAGTGGCAACAGGCCTGTGGGCAGTAGGGATGCGTTACCTTCCTTCATGTTTGCAAATCGCTCCTTCAGCTGGTGATCCACCTCAGGACCAAAGGCAAAGTTATTCACAAATATAACACTGCAAAACAATGTTTTAGTTCAGTAAAACTGAAGCTGTGCATATCAAGTCCCAGCCTGGACACAGCCCACTGCTGGTCCCTGCCAGGTGCCATCCCCCTCCCCTGCCACCCTCCTGAGGTAAGCAGAGTAAGCAGGAGAGCTGGAGCAGAAGACAGGTATAGGACACCTTGGACTGAGTCCAGCACCAGGCGCCTGTTTTGAATATTGGTGCTTCTGAAATAAAGCTGGCTTCCTGGAAGCACTCCCTGGCAACAGTGTCCAGGGAAAGACCACTCACAGAACATAGGGCAAGCACAGGGCATGAGCACAGAGAAACACTGACAAGCAGGCAGATGCGATGCAACAGGCAGGCTCCACCCTCCAACAGAAAACACAGGGGTAAAGCCCCAAAACACCCTGATCCCCTGATAGACCCCCCATGACAAGGATGGCACAGGACACTCAAGAGGACCACCAACAAAGGGGCTGCTACATCCCATGTGAGACAACAGCTGGCTCAGGCCCAGGGAGGGGCTGGCACTCTTGAAGCAGCAGCCCCCCGAAGTACCCTCCACAGTGGCCACCCACATCTAGGGAGCAAGAGTCAGAGACCCCAGCACAGCCAGCAGCACAGCCCACAGCCGGCCGTACCTCGTGTTGGCGATCCGCTCCCTCCACTCCTCTGAGAGGAAGTCACCTCGTTCCAGCTAAGAAAGAAAGGAACACGTTTACTCACAAGCTTACCTGATTCAAACCCAGCCCCATAGCTGCTGTGAGAGACATGAAATGATCTGGATCTCAGGGTGGGAAGGTGACTGTGGACAGCCAGTGGATAGCTCTGCAGAGAGCAGGGCCTGAACCCCAGCAGAAAGAAAGCAGCACCCTCTCGGGGACAGACAAGAGGATGGTATGGGTCCAGGTGAGGAGCCACAGAGCCATGTGCCTGGCCAGCCAACCCTCTCTAACCCCAGACTGTGCCCCCAAGAAAAGCAGCATCACACAGGCCATCTGCAGACCCTAAATACAGACATGAGATGTATCTATGTGGCCAGGAAGACTGGACCAACCATTCTGTCACTCACTTATCATGGTACATGACGGCTATGCCTGCAGATGAGGTCACCTCTGTGCACCCTGCATTAATTAGTACATGTTTGCTGCACAAATGACCCCATAAATGTGGCCCTGCTACCTCAGTGTCTTGTCAGCACTGATGTCAATCCACCTCCTTCAGGCCAGAGTGTGTTAAAGGGAAACAGCTTTTTTTTACCTTTCTTGTTTTTTTGAGACAGGGTCTCACTGTGTAGCCCTGACTAGCCTTGAACTCACAGAGATCCACCTGTGTACGGAGTGCTGGAATTAAAGCAGTAAACCACCAGTGGAAAACAGCTTTTACCCTGACTACACTCAGAGACCCAAGAAATCCGGGTTTTGAGTTCTGCAGACCACTCACCAGCTGCAGCACCAGGCAAAAGGCCCAGGAAAAGAACAGTCCACTCTACATGGAGGTCTCAGGGTGGGGTCGGGGGGAGTGTTAGTTGTTTACAAAGTCCAAAAGTAAGGGATATCCGTGGGCAATAGACACATAGCATAGTCTATCCGTGAGCTAGAAAGCTACTTGACAAAGAACAGGAGCAAAGAATAGATGCACTGGAGGCCACGCAGTGTGGGATACAACAGGCAAATGTACTGACCAAAGGTAGATTTGAGCATCAGAGGCTGTGTGGGGACAGGACACTTACTGAGCTGCAGGCCGAGGGCCACCTCCCCACCCTGCTAGAACAAGCCTGTCTCCATCCTCTAGTGAGCAGAGCAGACCTGGGCTAAGATGGCCAGAGCCCTGTAGGCTGAATAGCCCCTGAGCCAAAACCAGGCCAAGGCCCACCTCATCGACCTCTGACTCTACTCTGATATACACCAGCCAGGCCTGGGGATGGAGGCTTCGGTCAGCCCTAAAATGCAGGCCACACCAGGGTGTAGGAGACCTGGGCTCTGGGCTCCCACTCTCTCCTAAGCTAAGCACTGCAGCTGAGTATATGCTAAGCAGAGGAGCCATGTCCCCTTAATCCCAGGTGCTGGGTCTCGGCATCTCTGGATAAGAATACCCTGAAGCATGTTCTGAGATTCCTAGGAAGAGCTATACAAGCCCTGATGTCCTTACTGGCTCTGCTGTGTGCCTTTGCTGTGGCTGGCAGCTGGGTTCTACAATGTAGCTACACAGATAGCAGTTGCTTTACAGCTGGCTCCACTCCAAGAATCTGTGCCTGCTGTGGCCCGTGAAGGCCTGTCCAGAAGAGACTTCACCCTGCAGCTGTGTTATGTGTGGAGCCAGCATTCTTCCCACCAAAGACAGGGCCCCAGTGTTATCCTGGCCAACCAATTCAAGATGTCTAGGGAGCCAGCTAGCTGCACTATCTGTGTCTGTGGCTAGGGACTCTCAAGTCCTGGCTGTCCAGCCTGGGATGGAAGCCAGGCCTGAAGCAAGGTGTCTGCTGCTATGTAGAAGATCTCCATATACTCCACCTTGCAGAGAGGACCTCCCTCCCCAGGCGTATATAGGCAGTAAAAACTGCTGAGAGACAATCACACCAGACGGGCTGCTGGGGAGAGGCTCAGGTCTACTGAGTGACCTGAAAAAAAAAAAAAAAGAACACTCTCCAGCCTGTTGTACCTACAGACTGTGTAGTTCACTCCAGGTTCTCAACTTTGTGAGCTGTCACCCACACTGGGGTGGATTTCGGTGATGCAGTTGTCTTTGAGTCATTTCTGTTCCTGTAAGTGACCCCACAACCAAATTCCTATAAGTAGCCCCTGTCAAACTCGAGAGTTTTCCAAGCTGGGCTTTGTTGGTTCCCTATCTGGGAAACATTTGTTCACACATCCCCCAAGAAAGTGTCACAGCCATACCTACCAACATGGAAAAGGTAAGAGGGGAGGGAAGGAACATGAAGCCAGACAGCATCCATGAAGCAAGTGAGGAAGACTGACATAGGTCCCACAGAAGTCTGGGGAGGGCCAGAAAAGGTGACCACAGGTGAGATTCAAGAGGCCATGGTCAGCCACAGACTTGGCCACTTTAAGAACCCATTAGCTCAGTCTGGAGTGCAAGTGAACAGAGATGGCTAAAGCTTGTGGTTGCGGTCTCAGATACAAGACCTATGAACACGCCTTAGCAGGACTGGCTGCCCATGGGACACCTTGGCACAACCAACTCCTATGACGGGGTTACCTAAGCAAGCTACAGCCAGCATCCCAGGAGTCAAAGGCTACTATATTTTTCCAGGGTCAGTGGTAAAAGCCCAGTGACCCTTCTGAGGAACTACTTACAAAGAGTCATGGATCACATCACAAAGTCCCCTCTGAGAGGAACTGCTTATAAAGCTGTACAACCCCAGCCACCAGCATGACGGGAAGGCAGGCACACTCTGTGAACATATGAAGTCACCAAGCCTGGGAATGTTAGGAGGCACAGCCAACAGGGAGGAGCATGGCCCAGTGTCTGCCCCAAGCTGGACTAAGGTCCTTGGAGGATGAGGGAGAGATCTGCCAGGAGCAGGTGTGGGTGGGAAAAGGCAGACTCGATTCATCCACTGGAGGGAGCACATCAGCAGACTTGGCTGGAGGGATGTATGGGGGGAGGGGGAGAGAAGGGGGGCAGGATACCTGGCACAAGGCAGTTCTGGGGCAAAAGAGTCCTCTGGGTTGTTTTTAGGCTCCCCTGGCTTTTCTGCAGCATGCTTCTGAATAGCAGAAGACAAGGCTCATGGCTAACAAATCAAAGCTGCAGCACTACACAGATGCCTATAGGCCAGGCAAGTACATACCCAGCCTCCCAGAAAAGGCTATAGGTCACTCAAGGTGCTGTGGGAAGCCGGAGTGGACACAAGCAAAAGCCAACAGTCGCTTTCTATCCCTGCTGCCAGGTTGCTTCCGATGGTCTCCAAGGCCTCAAGAACGGTTCCTGCCCTTAGCCCTGCTCTCAGCCACAAGCCAAGGGCCACCAGCATGAGCACTGAGGGGCTGACAGTGACAACAGCCAACATGACAAACTGCTACCAGCCACACCACTGGCTTCAACCATATATGCCAGGTCATCTAACAATGATAAACTGAGGAAGAAGAGGAAATGACCAGGAGGCCACTTGGGATGGGGCAGGGTCTTCCTGAGAGTTCTACATGTATATAGAACCAACAGGCCCCACCAAGTGTGAGGAGACATTACAATTAATGATGAAGAGGGCACAGTCTTGGAAATCTGGAGCCATCTCCTGGATCCTAGACACAGGTGTCAAGTGGGGCTCTCTCCTAACAGATTCCTAAGAACTTCACGCATGGGAAATTTTCAGCAAGAAAGCACAAGTAAGCTGGGCTTATTGCAGGAAGGATGACAGAAGTAGAGCAAGGCAGAGCCATGACCATTCCATTCCACTGCCCATAGCTCGCAGGCACTGCAGGATGTCACTACAGCCTGGCCCTCCCAGCCAGCCCACAGGCCAGTCTAAACAGATCTCCACATCAAGAACTCAAGGGTCCCAACCCCTAACGTGAAGGCTAAACCACTGAAGGCTCAGCAGGGGTTCACTTGCCCAGTCTGGAGCTCAGCTCAGTAGAGCTGAGCATCTGTTGCCACAGTCCCACAGTCAGCACATGTTGTCTAGAAATGGTGCCCAGGCCAAGGGAGCAAGAAGAGCAGGGCTTAGTTGGGGCTCTGCAGCTAGCTCCAGAGACTGTGCCCACTGCCACAGAGGGGCATATGGTCATTCGTCAAGACTGACTGGGGTCAGGAGAGGATGGGAAAAGGGGCTGGGATGGAGGCCGCGGGCATGGAGCGATGGCACTCACTGTGTATTCTGCATGCTTTTTTCCATACCATTTCATCCACTTCCTGAACTCTCGATCCATGGTCTGAGGGAAAGAAAGGACATGACCTGTTACAAATTCAGGGAGGCAGAGGTGGTGGAAGGTCCACAGGATCCCTGCTGTGAACACATAGTGGTGGTGAACATTCAAATAGGGGTTCCCAACCCTCCAACAGAGCCCCTCGATCATCCTTTGCAGCCCCAGCAAGAGCCTGAACCACACCCTGGGAGGAACAGATGGGAGACATCCAGAGGAAATGTGTACCCTCTCAACTCAGGAGCTCAGTACCATCCTCTCTCCAGTAGGGGGTGGCCATGCCTTGCCAGGACAGCAAGAAATACTCAACATGAAGCTCTGCAGAGCCTGCAAGGGATATGGGCACTCTGCTGGAAGGTGCTGGGTGTCACAAACAGAAACTCTTGGCCTGAAAGAGCTGTACCCAGACAGAAGCCCAAAGCAGCATGCACAGGTGGCTGCTCACCTCCGCGTACTTGGCTGGGATGTCTGCTTTCTCCACTCCGTAGTGATGTTTGCAGTTGGTGGCAGCAGCAACCTGAAGGACAACCTGCCCCACACCTTCAGCCAAAGAGACACAGGTCAGTCTGTGTGGCCTCCACAGAAACACAGTGGCTTCAGCCACATGACAATGTCTCTTGGCATCAGAGAGAAGGCCACCATCAAGGCACAGACCTCCCACCAGAGGATGTCTACACCACTCTACTACCTACAATGCAATCTATGAACCTGTAATATGCCTGTTCCACACTGCAGTTTGGCAGGGCCTGGCTGTCCCTATGAGGGGATGAAGACACAAGGCTTAGCAGTCTGCAGAAAGGCAATTCTTGGTATAAGTCACTCCCTGCTCCTGCTATGGCATAGACAGATATAGCCAGTCAGGAGACCTAACAGGTCTGCTTGGGGATGGGAAACAAAGCAAGAAATCCAGAGGCTATAACTGCCAGCAACAGGCATGCTGGCCCATGGCAATATCGCTTCATGCCATTGAGGGTTGAGAATCTGAAGATGACCCTCCACTTGGCAGGTCAGTTTAACATTTCAGATGGAAAGCACACTCCACCTGACTTTCTAAGCTGGACAGTGTTTTCTAGTAACAAGCAGCTCAGAACTACAGGCAGAGACGCTGGAAGACACACAGTGGCTTAGGAGACACAGGGCCAGGCAAGGAGGCATCCCCTGTACAGGTTTCATAGAGAATGTGAGCCCCAAATCTACACGGCATTGAGAGGGGCTCTGGAAGGTGAGGGACCCCAGAGGCTTGACCTTCAGGGCTAAACCAGCAGCTCTACCTCACACCCTATGAGGTGTAGAAGACAAGACCTGTGCTGGACGGTTTTAAGTCAACTTGACATAAGGTAGTCATCTGACATGAGAGAGCCTCTATTGAGAAAATGTTTCCTGGCTGGAGAGATGGCTCAGCAGTTAAGAGCACTAGCTGCTCTTCCAGGGGTCCTGAGTTCAATTCCTAGCAACCACATGGTGGCTCACAACCTTCCGTAATGAGATCTGGTGCCCTCTTCTGGCCTGCAGGCATATATGTAGATAGAATACTATACAAAAAAATAAATACATTTAAAAAAAAAAAAAAAAAAAAGAAATACTTTCTTTTAGAAAAAAAAAAAAAAAGAGAAAATGCTTCCATTAGATTATAGGCAAGCCTATGGGACATTGGGCTTTTCTTATTCTTTTCTCTTTTTTTGGGGTTGGGAGGAATGGTAAAGGGTTCAAGACAGGGTTTCTCTGTGTAGCCCAAGGCTGTTCTGGGACTTGGTCTGTAGACCAGACTGGCCTCTAAGTCAGAGGTCTGTCTGCCTCTGCCTCCCAAGTGCTATGATTAAAGACATGTGCCACCACACCTGGCATATTTTCATAATTAGTGATTAATGGGGGGGGGGGAGCCCATTGCAGGTGGTGACATCCCTGGGCTGCAGATCCTGGGTTCTGTAAGAAAGCAGGTGAGCAAGCCATGAGGAGCAAGCCAGTCAGCAGCGCCCTCCATGGCCTCTGCTTCAGCTCCTGCCTCCGGGATCCTGCTCTGTTTGAGTTCCTGTCCTGACCTTCTTCAATGATGAAGTAATGTGGAAGTATGAGCTGAATAAACCCTTTCCGTCCCAAGATGCTTTAGGTCATTGTGTTTTATCAAAGCAACTAAAACCCTAGGACTTGCCCCAAGAAAAGTGGCCACAATCAAGAGCCATAGCCAGTCACACAGGCAGCACAATAGCCCTGACTGTGTCACTTGTGAGGCTGCAGAGTGACCAGAAAAGCCTCAGGAACACTGGTCACACAAGTCAAGATCCACAGCCCCATAAGAGTATGGAGTTATAAGGAGCCAGCAGGACTGAGGGTCCCGGAAGCCTTGGCTCAGCCAGTGTCCTCCCTGAGCACTCATGTGCAGCTGTGTGATACTGAGTGAGAGCCCAAGGACAGCTAGAAGGCTGTGCTAAAAAAATACTCACCACTGCCCAGGTCTACAAACAGGTCATCCTCGGTCATCTTGATCTCGTCAATCATCTGGGCGACCAGGTCAAAGGAGGTCTCCCCGTACACCTCAGGGGAAAAGGGCTCGTAGTTGTTGAGCTTCTCAGGGTCAGTCACAGAGTGGTTGTACACCTGCTGCAGGATGTGCCGCAGGAGCCCATTGGATGGTCGAGTATTCAGCTTCATGGGCTGCGTGGTGCCCTTCCACTAGGGACAAGAGTGGGCATGACACATTTTACTCCACAGCAGCCAGCAGCAACTGACTGACACCCAGAACTTGGTAGACTGAAGCAGGGGGAGCACCTGCAGTCCAAGGCCAGCCTAGACTACATAGTAAGATCCTGTATCAAAAACCCAAGAGGTTGCCAGGCGGTGGTAGCTCACACATTTAATCTCAGCACTAAGGAGGCAGAGGCAGGTAGATTTCTGAGTTCGATGCCAGCCTGGTCTTCAGAGCAAGTTCCAGGACAGCCAGAGCTACACAGAGAAACCCTGTCTCAAAACAAATAAACACAAAAGGTGGGGGCTTGAGTGTGGCTTAATGGATCTATCCTGAAAACCACAAACAGAAAAGCACAGCAGTATGAGTGCTCCTACAAGTGCACAGAGCCAGTTCTGGCCTGCCAGGCTTCTGCCTGACCCTTTCACATCAACTCATGCACTCCATTTAGGTTAGTCACATGAAGGTCAGCTCTGACTAGACCTCAGCTCATGGCCTAGGCCAGCACTGTGGTCCCAGGAGCCCCTCCTGACTCCAGCCTCCGTGGCAGGTATGTCTCCTCCCAGGACATACTCAGACTCTCTAGCTTTGGGACAGGGTCTTTAATTCAAGTTCACAAGAAATCAGCGAAGAGCTGTTGCCCCTGCAAGTGGTATAGCCTGGCACAACCTGGCATTCATCTACAGATCTGAGCCACCAGAGCGAAGGGAGAATTCCCTCAGGGGAAGAAGGGCTCTACCCCTTGGTTTCATAGCCATGGACACTCTGCCAGACATAGCAATGGGTAAGATGTGACAGGACAGGACAGCCCAGCTGAAGGGGCCAAGCCCCAAGCCTCTTGCTGTCCCACAGGAGCCCTAATGCTGCTAATTCAGTTGGTGTCCCTATGGTACAGTGGTGATGGCAGGATCAGTGCCCAGTGGGCCATCAAGGAAGAGCTGCATGAACGTCTTAGCTCAAGGAGCCATAAAGCTACCCTGTGCCAGCCCAGTCTCTCCACACAGCTACATCTTCCACAGGAGAATTCCCTGACACCACAGAACCCCACAATGGCCTAATACCTGCTAAAAGCCCCAATGACAGAGACCCCTGTGCCTTCCAGAAAGACCATTCCCTGGGTGCCAGTTGCTGAACTCTGCTGCCTGTACCCAGCTTGTCAGCTAAGGTGGAAAGGTGGAGGACAATTCTGTGAGGCTCTACTGTGAGGAGGACACTCCCCTCCCCAAACAGGTGGAGCAGACTAGAATATGTCAGAGCAGAGCCCTGAGGCTGGGAGCCAGCTGCAGGGCAGAGGCTGGCTCCCAGTCCGGAAGGGTACTGATTACCTGCACCTCTGCTACATCATACAGGGATGGGCAGAGATGGAAGGTTCTGCAGAGCAGAATGACCTCATGAAGCTACTTGAGAAAGCCACCTGGGGCTTGATGTGCTCCTGACTCCCCTGCCTCACCATGCCAACTGTCCTCCCCACCACTTTCACAGCCACCAGGAGGTCCTCCTAGTGCTGGGCTGCCCTGGGAGGCCCAGGAGCCAGTACCATGAAAACCCACTGGGGACAGCTCGAAAGTAGGGAGCCACCTACCAGCTGGTGGATGCTGTCGATGGCTCGGTTGTACTTGTCACACAGTCTCTGCATGCTTTCAAAGCTGACAAAGAGGGGAAACAGATCATTAGTGGCCTGTAACATGCCCAGCTTTTACAGACATGTAGGGTTGGACAAAGCCTCCGGGAAGGCTTGGGTTCCAGAAGCACCAAAGGCTCCATGCTGAGACAAGACCAAGCGTAGGGGCAGTCTGGGTGGGTCTCTATCTATCAACTCTATGGTTAAATGGTGTCATTAGATGAGAAATTCAAAGAGCAAACCACTACAAAGACTGAGCTAGAATTGGGGAGGTAGCTCAGCAGCTAAAGTGCCTGTAGCTGAGTTCAAGGTCCCGAGTTCAAATCCTCAGAATCCATGTAAAGCTGGACAGGGACAGACATTTGTGGACTGGTGCTTCTAAGACAGAAGAGGGCAGGTTTGGCATGTGCAGCAGGGACTGTCTCAAACAAGGTAGAAGGTAGACAGCTACCCAGGTTTCTCTGTCCTCATGACTGTGCTGCTCATTCATGATATGTACATAGACATACAATCAGACAATGTTCAAATTCAGAGTAAAAATATATAAAATCTTTTTCTTTTTCTTTTCTTTTTGGTTTTTTTGAGACAGGGTTTCTCTGTGGAACTCAATTTGTAGACCAGGCTGGACTTGAACTCACTGAAATCCACCAGCCTCAGCCTCCCTAGTGTACTATCACCACCCAGCCAAATTAAATCTTTTAAAAAGGAAGCAAGCAGACAGAGTGCCAAGGAGTGTGTGGACAGCAGAGCCCCCATCAGTCTCTAGACACCAGATGCAGGGACCTGTAGCTTCTGAGATAGGCCTGGGGTAGAACAGCCCAATTGGGGACTGCCTCTAGGAAAAACCCTGTGTACTTTGAGCACCAGGTCAGGAACCTGCCTGACTCCATTTTGAAGGCAAAAGCCATTATCCTGTTTTTTTGGAGACAGGGTTTCTGTATATCATTTAGAAACCTGCCCTCAAACAGGCTCTATAGACCAGGCTGTCCTCAAACTCAGAGATCTGCCAACCACTGCCTCCCTAGTGCTGGCATTAAAGTCATGCACCACCATCACCTAGATTATCCTGTATTTTTAAAAATAAATTTGTATTTACTGTAATAGTTGACTTGCTCTGGTTCCTGGAACCTATCTCCCCACTGCAATCCATGACCTTGCTATGTTTTTTAGAATACCCTTACCTTCTTCCTCCCTGACCCACTCCCTCCCTATTTACATGGTGACCACATAATTATTTCTAAGTTTTTTTTTTTTTTTTTTTTTTTTTTTTTTATTTCCTCATTGCCCTATTGTCCCCCTTTTGTACAACTAACTACTAGGGATTTTACTCCTTAAAAGGGGCTCAAGGAGCCAGGCAGTGGTGGCATGCTCAGCTTTAATCCCAGCACACAGGAGGAAGAGGCAGGTGCATTTCTATGAGTTCATGGCCAGCCTGGTCTAGGCCAGCTAGTTCCAGGATAGGCTCAAAAGCAATATAGAGAAACCCTGTCTCAAATACATAAATAAATAAAACTCCAGAATCCACAGGGAGCCCCATGCTTGGGAGTAGGGGCTCTGAGGCACTAACACACACAGGCAGCTTCCTCCCCATGTGAAGTAGTCACATAAAGCCATGTGATGCCCCGGCACTCCAGCTACAGTAGGAAGGCTTCCCTGAACTGAAGGCATTATGGAAAAGCCAAAACAGGGTGAGGTGGTGGCACACACAACCACAGTCCTGGCTACTTATGAGTAATTTGAAGTCAAGCTAGGTAAGGTAAGAAGGCCCAATGTACTATCAATGGGGTGAGGACCCACATGCAAGGCCCTGGGTACATTCCTCACATGGCAAAAGTAAAATTCTCAGAGGTCCAGGACCTTCTAGCACATGAACTCAAAGGCAGTGAGACAGGGGTAGTTCCTGCCCTGGTCACCTGGCATAACTCACAAAGGAAGGCTTCTGTGTCCTATGGGTCCAGAGAGGGGGACCTGCTTGAAGAAAAGCTCACACCCAGATGCTAGTCATGGGGTGGAGGCCTGCCCAGGGGACAGACCCAGGGTCACCAAAGCTGACCAGCATCAGGAGTCCTTTCTAATAATGAGGTCAGAGGTCAAGTGAAGCTTTGCAGGCACACTGCAGAATGGAGAGGCTGAGCAGGAGGTGGAGCCTGTGTTGGCCTCTCTCAAAGGAAATAAACCCCATTCTAGGCAGCATTCCAGGGATGCCTTCTCTTCTCCACCCACTCTGTCCTCAAGGAGAGGTGCTAGGTGGGGACAGGGACCAGCCTCACCACACCTGCCTAGCCTGAGCTAGCAGTGTCCCTCAGAACAGAGCCAAAGGCAGACAGACAGACTCTGACAGAGCTCTCTCACCAGCCCTGCTCATTCCCCAACTCAAGTTTGTTCAGTGAAGTTCCCAGGGATGGCCTCACTGCACAGCAGACACTCCTGGAAGTGTACACAGATGGTGACAAGGGTGTGGGCAGTCCAGAGGGACAGCCCACAGTCCACTTACTCCCTTCCTGCTTACCTTTTGGTGTCATAGTCGATCAGGACATAGTTCTCCATCGCCAGCTTGAGATCCGGGATTTCCTCACAGACCCACCTGAAATGGAACACAGAGCTCCTGCTGCTGGCCTAAGCTTCCTTCTCTCTCTCTCTCTCTCTCCCTCTCTCTCTCTCTCTCTCTCTCTCTCTCTGTGTGTGTGTGTGTGTGTGTGTGTGTGTGTGTGTGTGTGTGTGTGTGTGTGTAGGGAGCACTACTGAGAAATCACATGGATTTTATGAGGCCAAGGTCAAACAGTACTGGCACTTGGAAAAGAAACTAATTCACATGTTATGGTAAAAAGTAAAATATTAGCTAGGCTTGGTGGCACATGCCAGCTGGCCATCCCAGTAATGATGGGAGACTCTGAGGCACAAATACTCCAAATTCTAGGCTAGACTGAGCTACAGAATAGACCTTTCTGGGGGAGGAGGGTGGAATGGTGAGGAGAGCTGGCAAGATGGCTCTGCAGGTAAAAGCAAAGGTGGGTGGCATAACCCAAGAACCCAATTTTAATCCAGGAGCCTACATAGGTGGAAGGAGAGAACCAACTCCACAAAGTTGTCCTTTGACTTCTACTATGTGCTGTGGCATGTGTACACACACAGACACACCAGCTACAAACACAATAATAATAAAAACTTTGGGTAGTCTGGCAGTGGTGGCCACCTTTAATCATAGCACTCTGGAAGCAGAGACAGGTGGATCTTTGAGTTCAAGGCCAGCCTGGTCTACAGATCAAGTTCCAACAAGCTTCAAAGCTACAGAGAAACCCTGTCTCAAAGACAAAGAAAAAAAAAAAAAAAAGTCGGGGGAAGAGACTAGGTTTGACAGGAAGGTCAAGGGTCCAAGGCCATCCAAAGCTACATAGTTATTATGTTCAAGACCAGCCTGGGATACACCAGATAGTAAAAGGCAATTAATTAATTGTTTGTTTGCTTGCGACACGCAAGCCCTGTGTAGCCCTGGCTGTCCTGGAACTCACTCTGTAGACCAGGCTGGCCACAAACTCACTGAGATGTTCCTGCCTCCTCTGCCTCCCAAGCTCTATGAGCTTACCGACCCATGCAACTATGTCTGACCAGGTAGGCTCTAGGGATTTGATCTGAACTCAGGTCTTCATTTACCAACAAGACTAGCTTTCAGGCTGTTGTTCCGCTTTTCAGCATCACTGTGACTGACATAAGCAGTGCTTGGCCAAGCCCAGCTTTTTGGGCTGCAGAAGCCAGGCTTTTGTCCTAAGAACTGCAATGATGTGGTTCTAGTGATGCAACTAGGCCTATCTGCTGGCTCCAGGAAAGACAGGTGCTGGGGTGGCCCCTAGGAGGGTCTGTACCTGCCTGGAGGCCTGCCCCAATCCCAGACCATCTTGTTTCTGGGCCCACCCCACCCATTCTCCCTAATGTGGTTCTGTTCCACCTGCAGCCCCCACCTCAACCTGCAAAAATGTTTCAGCTTTCACTGCCAGACTCTTACATTTTTTTTTCTAGTAATTTTTTGTGCACGGGGGCAGGATTGTGTATGTATGCAGGCACTTGTGGATGCACAGGCACAATTTGAGTGACATAGTGTACCACAGAACATGCAAGTATCAGTCAGAGGACCTCAGCAGATGGTCATTTCCTTCCACCCCAGGGATGAAACTTAGGTCCCCAGGCTAGCACAATAAGTGCACTGTACCCTCTCAGCCAACTCACTGATCCTTTGTAGCACTGTAATTTCCACCTCTGAGCAGCCAATGGCAATCTAACCCTGAGTCTAGGGTCTTGGCTTTGTGGTCGACAGGGTTTTCTCCCACTAGTCTACGTCCACTATTCCAGGAGCCTCAATGGTCAGAAGTTCCACAAGTAGGACAGAAGAGACATCCCAACAGGCAGCCACCCTGGTGCCATGCCTCTGCAGGTATCAGGATGGAGTCATGCCCTCCACCCCGCAACATCAGACCTTAATGGACCTCACAAACTCCTGTTTTTCTCAAAGGTGGGGACTAGTGAAGGAAGATGGGGGACACAGAGACCTCCCCCCCCCCAACAGCTCCATCTTGCAGGAGGCTGCAGCTCAGAAGCTATACATGAGACCTAGCTCATTCCTGCCACTGCAGGGGAACAAACAACTAAGGTTTTCTCTGATAAGCACAGTGTGTGGCAAGGGCTGTGGCAGGCTGCCCTGCAACTTAATGCCTCTGCCAGGGCTCCTCCCTACTACTATACTACTCTCTACTTGAGGAGGCCCCAGTGAGGACAGCAAACTAAAAGTGCTGTGAATCCCATGCAGCAGCCCCCTCCCCATGAACCCCATGCAGCACTCACCGGATAGTCTCAATAATTTCATGAGCAGCATCGTGGTGCTTGTCCTGAAAGAGAAAACACTGCAGAGTCAGTCCCTGGCAACCACACAGTGACACCCCGACTCTTGTTCTGCGATGCACTCACAGCATCTGGACCCCACAGATTTCCCAGAACTGGATGGAGCCTGACTCAGAGCTTTGTCTCCCTGCAAACTCAACAGGTGTCAGCAAGTCCTGCAGAGTCCCATTGGGCCAGTGTCCCCACCTAAAGAATGAGAAATAGACATCACAACCACTGGCCAGAACTCAAGCCTTGCCCCAGCATGACCATGCAAGGCCAGATCTCAATCTGTCACCATGAGATGAAACTCAAAGATGCCAATTACACACTGACAGAAAGCCACATAGGGAAGACTGACAAAAGGAAGCAGGAGGTGCAGTGCTCCCACCCCCCCTGGGCCAGCCAGTGAGCTTTCTTCCCTTCCACACACTGCATACTGCCTAAGACCTTTCCCAGCCCTAGCCCCAGCCCCACCACGGAAGTGAGCCATGGGATGATAAAAACCACAGCTAACAGTGCCTCTTGAGAGCTGACAAACAAACATCATGGCTAGGTTCCCCAGGGCCCAGGCTCTGTCCCAGCTCTGCCCAAGTCCTGGTCATCACCCATTGCCACAGAGGAGCTATAGACTCCAGTTGATCCTGTCCAGTGCACAGTCATAGGTCATAGGTGACAGGGAACATTCAACATAGCCCAGGAACACTGGTGTGGGCTGAGTGTCCCCTAAAGAGTCTCCCACTGTGGTGGCATGGAAATGGCACCACTTGGGGGGGTGGGCATTAAGTCTGGAAGCATAACCTACAGGGCTCAGGAAGTTTGTGAAACTTCCATGATAGACTGAAGCAGGCAGCTGGCCAAGTCTTGCAGAGAACCCCAGAAGTCACCATGCCTGGGTGCTCTTTCCACAGCCAAGCTGTCTTTGAGTCACCCACACTCAGTAAGTAACCCTAGTGAACTCACAAGTCGCCTAAGCTCTACTCTATGGGATCGATTCTGTGGTCTGTGGCTTGTGCCCTGTCTGGGGTAAAGTGACAATTGCCCATGTCTCCCCAGAGAAGCCATACAGTGGGGGCAGATTGTTACCCAAATGTCTCACCTCTTCCTTTCACTGCATAACAACAAAACGTGCAAGCACACACTTATGTTCATATGCTACTTCTGCCAAGAACACCCAGTATCTGCTCTCTCTTCAGGATCAGTCTTATCCCAAGGTCACCCAGCCACTCCTGAGCACTGGGGCTCTGGATTGAGGCCTGCAATGGGAAGAACAGCAGGCATCTACCACGGCGGTGCTGAGGCAGCGCCCACATTGTGCTACTCCATGCCTGGCCATTCTCTGGGCACCCAGTGGCTGCTCAACCCAGGTAGTTCTCACAGCTCTCGGGCAAGCACAGCAGCCACCACAAGCTCTGACTCAGAAAAAAGTCTTAGGAATGCTGGGGGTTCAATAGGAGGCTCAGAGAACAGAGTGCCTGCTGCTCTAGCAGAGAATCCAGGTTCAATTCCCAGCATCCACATAATGACTCATGACAGTCTGCAACTCCAGCTCCAGTGGATATGATGGCCCCCTCTGGCCTCCACAGGCACTGCATGCCATGGTGCAGACACATGCAGTCAACTAAAATAAAAATAAAATAAAATTAAATTTAAAAAAAACTAAAAGAAAAAATAAAAGAAAAAGACATGCCCAGCTAGCAATATCACAAAACAAAGTCTGACCTGGAGGCACACACCTCTCACTCTAGTGCCCTGAATGGTGCAGGCAAGTGGACTGGGAATTCAAGGTCTCTTGAGCTGCATGGAGCTCAAGCCTGATTTGGAATAAGAAACAGTATCTTGCCAGGCTGCAGTTGTATAGCCTTTAATCCCAGCACTCAGGAGGCAGAGGCAGGCAGATATCTGTGAGTTCAAGGCCAGTCTGGTGTACTGAGCAAGTGCCAAGACAGCCAAAGCTGTTACACAGAGAAATAGAGAAACCCTGGGTGGATGGGATAGGGGGTGGGGGTGGCTCATACCTTTAACCCCAGGCAGATCTCTGTGATTTCGAGACTAGCCCGGCTTACAGAGCTAGGACAGTCAGAGAGCTATTACACAGAGAAAACAAAACAACATAATAATAAAGTAAAATAAGAAAGGAAGGGAAGGGGATTCACTTAGCTAAGGCAGCATTGGGGAATATCAGAACACAGCAGTGGTCTTCCTTCTATGGCACTTCAACAGAGGGCCTGGTGGGGACATGCCTCTGCAGCAGACATTTGCTGGCCATGCACAAGGCCCTAGGTTCCAGGCCCAGCAGAGTCACTGAAAACCACACCACAGGCATACTAGTGTGGGCCTCTGTACTCAGGAGGCTAAGGCAGGAGGCTGGGGATTTTGCGGGGAGCCTGACCACTCAGGGCCTCACCCTTGCTCTACAAAACCCCAACACCATGATCCAACCCAGCCCTTGGTTTTCTGAGTCTGCAAGTCCTCCTGCTTCCACCTTCCAAGTACTAGCGTACCTTGTAGGAGGAATTTTTTGTTTGTTTGGGTGGTCTTCTGTGTTGCTCTGGCTGACATGGAACTCACTCTGTAGACCAGACTGACCTTAAACTCAGAGATCCTCCTGTCTCTGCCTCTGAATGTGGGGGTTAAGGGTGTGAGCCACCACCACCATCAGGCCCTTGTAGGGTTCTTCAAGTGCTCTAAGTACTGAGGACCAACCTCTAATGTTTGCTGGGCCCTATGTCCACAGATAATTCTGAGCTGCGCAAACTAAGCAGCACAGATTCTTTCCAGCAATGGCTACATCCTGGCATTCATTGGTCTTTAGGAAAGGGATAGGCATGCAGCCACCTGGGAAGGAAGAAAATGTGTTGGGCATAGCCGCAGGAGCACAGGTTTATGAAAGGTGATGCTTCCTTTATACAGGGACAGACCCTACCATCTACTCATTCTCCAGTAGGTATCACATCTGGCACAACATCAGGAATTCACTACTGGTTAGCCAAGCCATTTATTTTGTCTTTTTCTCTCTCCCAGTGCTAGGGATGGAACCCTGAGCCTTGTGAACACTAGGAAGGTCACCTACTGAGCAATGTCAGTCTTTTTTTGGATTTGTGAACAAGATCTTCAATGTAGACTAGGCTAGCCTGGAATACCTAATATTGCCCTGGTCTCCTGAGTGCTGCTCAGGTCAGACATGTGCCACCCATACTCTTCTCACCAACACCACAGTAGTTCCCTTCTTCCACAAAACATCCAAGTGAAGACAGACATGGTGGCACATGCCTTTAATCCTAGAACTTGGGAGGCAGAGGCAGACGGATCTTTGTGAGTTCAAGGCTAACCTAGTCTACAAAGAGTTCCAGGACAGCCAGAGCTACAGATAGAATTCGTGTCTTGAAACAAAACAAAACAAAAAATCCAAATGGCAAGGTGTGGTGGTATACACCTTTAATCCCAGCACTCAGGCAGCAAAGGCAGGCATGTAGTTTGAGGCCAGCCTGGTCTACATTGTGAGTTCTGGGACAGTCAGGGCTACACAGAGGAACCCTGTCTCTAGAGAGGACCTCTTACGTGATCCCCCAAATAACATCATACCAGGAGTTATACAACAAGCTGTAAGAGGCTGTTCAAACCCCCTCCTGGACTTGCCCCCACCAGTGACTGATAGCTGCTTAGACTACATGCAGGGTGACCAATAAAGCCAAACAGATCATCATCACCTCTACAAGGGCAAGAGGGGCAGGGTCATGTTCAAGGATCAGCTCAAAGGAGTCAAGATCCCCAGCCCAGCCCAAGACCTGTGGTAGAAACGTGACTACAGGGAAACCAGTGGGCAAACCAGAGACATGCATCCTGCAGAGATGCATGGAGAATGACCTCCATTAGCAGACATGATCCCACATAAAGAGGGACCGGGCCTTGGCTCTAGGTGGGCAGCTCAGTCAGATGTGCAGCACCAAACACTCTTGGTGTCCCACATGGCCCTGTACCCCATAACAGGAAGGAGACCTCTAGAAAAGGTCACACAGTGCTATATGGATACGACATACACAAGCTCTGCCAGATGGGCTGACCCCAGAATACACAGCACATTCCAGACTCGGGGTACATGTCTTTACACACATATGCACACATACACAGAGAGAAAGAAGAGAGCTCAGTCCTAACTTTCCTGCTAGCTTTAGAGTGGGGGCCTCACAGTGCTATCCAGGCTGGCAGACAACTCTTGAGCTAAAGCAATCTTCCCACCCCAGCCTCCCAAGAAGCGGGGGCCACAGACACACCCAGCCTTTTTTTTTTTTTTTAAAAGACTTGACCCTGAACTCTAAAGTCTACACAAGGCCCCAGGGCTCCAGGCCAGTAATTCACAGCACACATGGGGATATCTAGCTTCCTGGCGGCCAGCCTTCAAGAAGGCAGGAAGAGGGTGTGGGATGGTAACTCAGAGGTCCACAGGAGGACAAGTGTCCTTGCTCAGCTACAAGGACAGGGATGAGACCAGAATCTGTGCCAGCTGCCTGCTCTATAGCAGGCAAGGGCTCTATAGCAGACAAGGGCTTCTGCTGAACATTTCATGCCAAGCTGGCCTCTAAAGTCTTCAAGGCAGAGTGACACCACCTACCCAGAACTGTCAAGTGACACAAGTGAGTCACTTTATAAGAGTGACTGCAAGCAAGGAGGTAACCACCAGTACCCTTGCTGCAGGCAACTCCTCCCTTAGAGTGTAAGGGCAAAGGACAAGGGATCAGTTTACCTTAGGAGAGCTGGGACAAGCAATGAGGGAGGAACAAGCAGCCCTGCCCAGACAACATCGGGTACAGGGCAGCCCAGCACCTAGACAACTACAAGTACCTGTGCAGAGACTGTAGAGAGACAAAGAGTTCACAGCACTTGCCCTGCCAACATAAAGAAACCCTGCCTGAAAGCACCTCCACACCCTAGCTACAGGTGTTGGGGTGTGGAGACTGCATAATGGAGCTTGCTAGCTTCCAGCCTGCCTGAGGAGGTTCTCATCAGG